CACAATGACCGGCTGTCTGCAAGGAGTATAAATCCTTCCCCACCATCCAGTTAGAGTTGAAGAAGCATCTGGGCAGTGGACCGGTACCGGTCCATGGCATGCCAGCAACCGGTCTGCACAAACAAGCAAAGCCCCATCCGCAGGATGCAGGCAGCATGCAAAACCACGCACCCTCCGGTCCGTGGAAAAACCTCTCTCCACGGAACCAGTCCCTGGTGACCCAAAGATTGGGGACCTGTGCTCTAGGGTGTTCAACCTGCTTTCTCCAACCAATGCTCGGTGGGTTTGTTGATGGAACAAAGCAGATTTCTTTTCTTCCTGAGGAATGTAAGCACGAAGAAGTGGTGCAGATCAATATTCATTACACAACCGGATCAATGTCGGGCCGTAGGGACGCTACACGGGGTTCGTTGGACTAAATTGCTTGTTTTGCTAAGAGGGCAGCACGGCTGGTTCCATCTGCTAGGAAGAATAAGAGCTGGCGCTCAAACAAACCCAGAAATCATTCTGGGCTTCGTGGTTATCGATTTATTTGCAGAATAAAGAAGCTACAGTATTAGTCGGGCGGAAAGATCCTAAGGAGGTAGAGATCTGAAAAGCACAAAAAAAAAGAAAGAAAGAAAATGGATCAGTTCTTCTCCAAAGCACCAGAAGGCAGGACAAGAAGCAATGGATGGAAACTGATCAAGGAGAGAAGCAACCTAGAACTAAGGAGAAACTTCCATGTCAACTTCCAGTTAGAACAATTAGCCAGTGGAACAACCTGCCTCCAGAAGCGGTGAATGCTCCAACACTGGAAGTTTTTAAGAAGAGACTGGACAGCCATTTGTGTGAAATGGTATAGGGTCTCCTGCTTGAGCAGGGGGTTGGACTAGAAGATCTCCAAGCTCCCTTCCACCTCTGTTATTATTCTGTTATTACAGTGATTCTCAACCTTTCTAATGCCGTGACCCCATAATACAGTTTCCCATGTTGTGGTGACCCCCAAGTGGGTGTGGCCACCAATAAGAAGCAGTAGGACAGCTAGGGAAAAGGGAAAAAAATGGCGGACAGCATGGTTTGGCGACCCCCGTGAAATGGTCATTCGACCCCAAATGGGGTCCCGACCCACAGGTTGAGAACCACTGTGTTATTAGAAGAAAGTTAGGCGTGTATGATTAGGCATTTAATATATCGAATTCAGGCTAAGCTAAAAATACTCTGTACATGAAACTCTGGTGGATCAGGCCCAAGGCTCAGTCCCTCATAATCCTCCCATGCACTGATGATATTACCTAGTTTAATAATGAAACATCTGCAAGAAAACCACCAAGCTCAGAGAACATCAAGAACCCAACAGTTCTCCTCCTCCTCCTCCCCCCTCCTCCTCCTCTTTCCTGCAAACCTTCCTCCCTTCTAGCACTGATGAGGTTACCTAGTTGGGTTATGCAATGTCTGCAAGAAAACGAGCAAGCTCAGAGAGCTACAAATATTCTCCTTTATTGGTACCATTCTCACTTTCAGATGTCCCCCCCCACCCCAGTAGAGCAGGACCCCTGAGAACTGGAGGTCAGTGCTGACAGTTGGTTCCTTCCTTCCTTCCTTCCTTCCTTCCTTCCTTCCTTCCTTCCTTCCTTCCTTCCTTCCTTCCTTCCTTCCTTCATTGTAAAGAGCCCATGTTTGTCTGAAAGTCTTGTTCTGCTTGCGTTCTCTGGAACCTTCTGACAATTCTGAAACACGGAGAGTGCTCAGTTCTTTTGAAAAGAGGAAACCACTAGCAATTTTCTCTCGGTCTTACAATAACTGATCAGATCTGACCACTATTTATGCTGAGCGCCGACTAGCAAAGATGCTGTTTGACTTCTGCAGGGAAGGTAGCTCGTGTCTCAGCCTCCGTTTCCAGCAAATGCAGCAATGCCTCACCAGGCCCGCTAATAAAGCCTCCAGCCTTTTGCTGTCAGTCTCTTTCTAACTTGGGAGGACGACAAAAGGCAAGCTGGGAGAAAACGGTGTGTTTATGTGGCTGGACAATTTCCCAAAGTGTTTCTTTTAAAAAAAAAGAATCATGTTCAGGATCCAATCCTTTTTCGTCTGTCTGTCTCTCTGTCCCTTTAAAAACAAAACAAAAACCAGGCATTTACTTACACGGTAACTGAGCTGACACATAATTAAAAGAAGAAATAGATGGACTAATGAAATCCATCTGGCGTTTAGCCTTTCTTTGATTTATCTTGTTCCCGGCTGCTCAGCCAGGTGATGAGAAGTTCCTAGCAAGATGGATGACAATGAGGTTTTGGGCAGAGGAAAGGGCCTGGAGGACTTCGATAGGCTTGGGCGATCCTATTGGGAGTAAAAAAACCTGGGCAGCACTGCTGTCAATGGGACCACAGCCAACGTGCGACTGGTTTTTTAATACAATCTAAGGGAAATGACCTTCCATGTATACTCAGTTCTTCCTGCAACAGGCTCAAGACCTCAGGGTTCCCTAAATCTGGGGTTTGTGGAGCTTAGAAAAAGAGAAACGATGGGTGACGTTTAACAGGTTCAGGGGTTGAACGCAGATCCGAACCTGTGTGGAAAACTCTGTTCAGCTTCTTTTAGTCTCCCGTCCTTATCACGTTCAATGAACACGAGTAATGGTGGGGTCCTGGGTGCTCTTTGAGCTGGGTGGTTTTCTTGCAGACTTTTCATTACACAACTAGGTAGCATCATCAGTGTTAGAAGGCACTGGAGGAGGAGGAGGAGGAGGAGGAGGAGGAGGGAGGAGGAGGAGGAGGAGATGGAGGTGGTGGAGGAGGAGGACTGTGGGGTCTTCGATGCTCTCTGAGCTTGGTGGTTGTCTTGCAGACATTTCAATACCCAACTAGGTAACATCATCAGTGCTACAAGAGATGTTTGGAGAGAGAGAGACAGAGAGAGAGACACACACACACACACACAGAGAGAGAGGAGGGACAGGAAGAGGAGGAGGAGGAGGAGGAGGACAACTGTGGGAACCTTGGTGTTTTCTGAGCTTGGTGGATTTCTTGCAGACATTTCAATACCAAACTAGGTAACATCATCAGTGCTACAAGAGACGTTTGGAGAGAGAGACACAGAGAGAGAGGAGGGAGAGGGAGAGGAAGAGGAGGAGGAGGAGGACTGTAGGAACCTTGGTGCTTTCTGAGCTTGGTGGTTTTCTTGCAGACATTTCAGTACCCAACTAGGTAACATCATCAGTGTTAGAAGACAGTGGAGTTTGCGGAGGGGAGGAGGAGGAGGAGGAGGAGGAGGAGGAGGAGGAGGAGGAGGAGGAGGAGGAGGAGGAGGAAGAAGAAGAAGACGACGGTGGCGTCCTTGGTGTTTTTGAGCTTGGTGGTTTTCTTGCAGACATTTCAATATCCAACTAGGTAACATCATCAGTAATTCAAAGGAGTGGGGTGTGGGAGGAGGAGGAGGACTGTTCTTGGTGGGTTCTCAACTATATAAAAACAAGATAACTCCACTTTCTTCTAGCACTGATGATGCTACCTAGTTGGATAATGAAACATCTGCAAGAAAACCATCAAGTTCAGACAGCACCAAAGACCCCACAGTTCAACCTTGAGCTGCAAATATTCCCTTCTATCCGTAGTTTGCAGAACACTGCATCACATATGGAATATATCAGATTATTTATCCCTGCTCAAGCGAACACTCCTCTCTGTTATCTTTGATCCACCTAAATTCTAAAGGCTCTCCGACCTGACAACCACCTTATTTGGACCCTTGAGCAGAGAAAAATCAAACTTTTATCTACAATAAAATTTGAGGACAGTTGAATTTATAGCCCGTTCGGTTAAAACAAATGGGCGTCAAATTAACCAGGTGCGACTTCGCTTGCTTATTATAAATCTAAGGCCTGTTGGAATCCGGCCTCTAATTTAGACATTATCTCTAATTGCCATATTACTTTTCTAAGGACAAAACTCTGGCTGCTCTTTTGCTGGTGGTGCATTTTGTGGTTCAAAATAAAAAAAAACAGCCTGGCACTTTCTTTCTGTGTTGCAGGGGAAAGAGATTCTCCTGGTCAATCAGATGGGTAATTTCGAGCCGTTTCGCTGTTTGAAAATGACAACATTTGGTGGTACGAAGCTGTGAGAGCCAGCAGTTACCAAACCAAATAAGACAACAATTATATTATGTAAAAAAAACACACACACAAAAAGGATTTCTTGCTTTTCGGGGGCATGATTCTGATGAAAGAGACCTTGCTACTGAGATTTATTTATTTATTAGATTTATTAGATCCCGCAGTTCAACAGTGTTGGGAAGGGACCTTGGAGGTCTTCTAGTCCAACTCCCTGCTCAAGCAGAAGCTTAATTAAATTAATTAATTAAATTAAATTAAACTTAATTTTGTTGTGAGTACTTAATTTCATTGTGAGATACACAATGACAATAAAGATATTCTACTCTACTCTGCTCTACTCTACTCTATTTTCTTACGCTCTCCCTCACTCCCTCACTATCTTCCTTTCTTTCTCTTTTCTCTTTTTCTCTTCTTTCTTTCTTGTCTCTCACTATCATCATTTCTTTCTATCTGTCTTTTTTTCTCTCTCCCTTCTTTTCTTTCTTACTCTGTTCCTTCACCTTCCTTCCTTCCTTTTTTTCTTCCTTCCTTCCTTCCTTCCTTCCTTCCTTCCTTCCTTCTCTTTCTTTCTTTCTTTCTTTCTTTCTTTCATATGTCAATCTTGCTTTAAAAAGACGAGGACCCATGGCCTCTGCAATTTAGACAAATCAGATAAAAACTCTTACAGGACATCTACCAACAGCTCCAGAAGATTCCTTCAGTATTCACCAAAATTGCCCAGGGGTTGCAAATAACAAGGGTTTTTTTGGGGGGGGGGGTTGTTTTTGAGATTCACACTTCCTTAACACTGGCGGCAAAAATATTGGAGCTGTGAAATGTTTTTTTTTTTTAATTAAGTGGCCTATTTTCTCCTGCTTACTCTCACCTACTGATATAAACGTTCTCTTTGACACCCCCACCCCACCCCCAGGTGCTCAAGGGCTCCAAAAAACTCAACTTGACCGTCCATTCGGCAGGACGCATCCCTGGCGGCTACAGAACCAACCACATTTACACCTGGGTGGACCCCCAAGGCCGGAGTGTCTCTCCCCCGGTCGGCCTGATCCAGCACCAGAGCAGCCCTTTGGGCAAGGAGGGTGAGAAAAGGAGCCACCTTCAACTTCTTCAGGAAGGGGATGAGAAAAAGGTGAGGACTAGAAGCTCTGTTTTCCTAATTGCCCTTCTCAATGTTTAGCGCACTGGAGGATGAGGAATGTGTGAACCCGCCCCAAGCCGGCTCCTAGTTGCCAACCGATTCAGAACATCAGTTTAATTGACTCAGGTTGACTCAGCCTTCTGTCCTTCCGAGGTCGGTAAAATGAGAACCCAGATTGTTGGGGGCAAAATGCTGACTCTGTAAACTGCTTAGAGAGGGCTGTGAAGCACTGAGAATCAAGTTAGTCACTTGAGCTACGTTCTTCTAGATCCCACCTCATCCCGCTGGCCTTCTAAGTGGATGTACAATAGCTTCGAAACCAGAACTGTTCTTTTGAGAGGAACGAGCTGTTCCCCTTCCACTTTGGAGAAGGAAAGACAGTTGGTTTTCCAGGCCCAGCTATAATTTCAACAGCAGGAAGCTGTGCCTCCTCCCTCCATCTCCCTCCGTGTCTCTCTAGCTTTGAAAAAAGGAAGTAGGATCCCACCGTGAAAACTGCTCTACAGAAATAGCTTGTCTTACCTTAACTCAAGGGCGGGCATGACATCTTTGACCAACTGAATTGAGTTTGCCTCAGAGAGGGCATTTTTCATCAACGCTCTCTGGAAGAGGGCAAGGACTGACTCATTACTGGTTCATTTTAAGAGACTTTGCTTATTTAAATAGGTTCCCAAGACCTTAATTGCACCTGAAAAGGTTGTTCAGGAACATCCAAGGTCCTTTTCTTTCGCTAGCATAAAATGCAAAAAACATCCAAGTGACAGCTCTCATTCCCAGAATTAGAAACGGACATTGCAATCTTCTGGGTTAAAAATGTGAGGTTTATTCTTAGCCAGGCAAATTACAAAACATTTTTTTTTCTGGGCAGAGGAGTAGGAAGAGGAGGAGGGGAAGGGGAAGGGGAAGGGGAAGAGGAAGAAGAAGAAGAAGAAGAAGAAGAAGAAGAAGAAGAAGAAGAAGAAGAAGAAGAAGAAGAAGAAGAAGAAGAAGAAGAAGAAGAAGAAGAAGAAGAAGAAGAAGAAGAAGAAGAAGAAGAAGAGGAGGAGGAGGAGGAGGATGAGGAGGAGGAGGAGGAGGAGGAGGAGGAGGAGGAGGAGGAGGAGGAGGAGGAAGAAGAAGTTGTTCATGGTTGTCTAGTCTCTTTTTAAAAATCTCCAGTGTTGGAGCTCCCACAACTTCTGAAGGCAAATTGTTCCACTGATTAATTGTTCTAACTGTCTGGAAGTTTCTCCTTAGTTCCAAGTTGCTTCTCTCCTTGATGAGTTTCCATCCGTTGCTTCTTGTCCTGCCTTCAGATGCTTTGGAGAATAGCTTGACCCCCCTCTTCTCTATGGCAGCCCCTCAAATATTGGAAGACTGCTGTCATGTCCCCCCCTCGTCCTTCTCTTCGTTAAACGACATACCCAATTCCTGCTGCCATTCTTAGTCTTAGTAACTGTAGAAACAAATCTGAACTGTAGAAACAAATCAGGACTGTAGAAATAAATTAAGATTGTAGAAACTAATCAAAACAGAAACTAATCAGAACGGTAGAAACAAATCTGAACAGTCATTAGGATCCGTTGAAAGAGAGGGCAAGCTGCACCAGTGAGGGCTTGAACCGCCATTGATTAGGGCCGGTGAAAATTAAGTTTGAAACAGGTTCCTCTGAAATCAACAATTTAGCTCACATTACTGGCCCTCAGAGGACAAAGCAAAGAAAAAGACAAAGAAAACCAGCTCTTATTTGCAAGCCTCAAATAAAGGCCATTTGCATAATTATGCAAAACTAAACGCATACGTTCTATCAGCATTCAGAACAGGAGGGGGGGGGGAGAAAAAAAAAGTTGCCTTTCATTTTGTTTTGTTTTTTTCCTTTCCTTTATTGCCAAGACTCAGCATGAAAGCTTGCGTTTGTCGTGTTCCAAACCAAAGATTGTGCTCTCTCTCTGTGTGTGTGTGTTCGTGTGTGTGTGTGTGTGTGTGTGTGTGTGTGTGTGTGTGTGTGTGTGTGTGAGAGAGAGAGAGAGAGAGAGATTTGACAGCATCAGCAAGAGCGTGATTCAGCAAGACAACTGGAACGAATTTGCAAACAAACTAATAAAGCCAAGAATTGATGCCCTTTTTGCAGTTGTCCCTTCAAGAGAAGGACACTCTCCACCGATTGTTTTCCCTACAGTTATTGTCTCCTCTTGTTACTGGTTTTTCTCTCTCACACACACACACCCCTTCCCTTCTGATCCTCATGCCAAGCCTAAAATTATCCTTGGCTTCTGATTTTGGTTTCTACACGTCATCCTGGTCTCTAAGCAGTTCTGACTTTTCTTTCATCCTAGGGCTCCAGTATAAATCCATCTCTCTTCTCTCTCAAAAGAGTTTGGACAACAGCTGTCAGATCCCCCAAATGTTCTCTGTCCCCATCTTTTATTTTTCCTTTCTATTTCCTTTGATCAAGCTAGAGCATCTTGGGAAGAACAAGAGATCTTCTGATGAATTTTCAAAGAGCAGGCATAGAATAATAAAAAAACAGAAAGGGCCACAAGAATCAGTTAATTCAAACTTGAAAGAAAACCAATTAAACACCCATCAGACATGGCTTTCTGGTCTGTTCTTAAAAGCCTCCAGAGATAGAAGATATATAAGATAGAATAATAGGGTTGGAAGAGACCTTGGAGGTCTTCTAGTCCAAACCCCTGCTCAAGCAGGAGACCCTATACCATTCCAGGCAAATGATTGTCCAACCTCTTCTTAAAATCCTCCAGTGATGGAGCAACTGTAACATCTGAAGGCAAGCGGTTCCACTGGTTCATTGGAAGGTTCCACTGGAGGTCTTCTCTACCCATGAAGGTGAAGACCCACAGCTTCTAGAGGTTGACCATCTGGATGCTGCACAAAACCTAGCGACAGGAATTTTTCATTATGAAGATGAAATCTAAATAGCCAACACTATATTTCTGGTTCTACAGAAAAGGGGTCCACCTATTCTCCAACACACCTGAGGACAGGACAAGAAGCAAAGGATGGAAACACATCAAGGAGAGAAGCAACCCGGAACTAAGGGGAAATTTCCTGACTGTGAGAACAATGAACCAGTGGAATCTTTTGCCTTCAGATGTTATAGTTGCTCCATCGCTGGAGGATTTTAAGAAGAGGTTGGACAACCTGGAGTAGTATAGGGTCTCCTGCTTGAGCAGGGGGTTGGAGTAGAAGACCTCCAAAGTCCCTTCCAACTCTGTCATTCTGTTATTCTTCATCCCAACTTCCATAATGATGCATTACCTGGGTTTATTTAGTTTGGCCACCACCTCGGCGAGCGAGGAAATCAGGTTCCTTCCAACCCTATTATTCTGTATTCTGATTTCCAGGCAAGTGGAAAAGAAACAAAGAAGTCTCCATAACCTGTATGGCCACTAGATATTTTACAACAAATGTTGAATCTATTGCAAGCCTGTGTATCCATACACAGAGGAGTCCACCTCCATGCATTCAGCGCTGAGTGCCTCGGCCGAACAGTGGTAGGTCAGAGTAGCTGGTAACCTCCAATTATTCTGTCCTTCCAACGTTGAGATCTATACTGTCTATTTTCAGATTCACTTCATCAGGACTGCTAAATTGCTCAAGGGGAGGGTTAATGGAAACACTCGCTCCGCCAAAAGGCCACATCAGCCCACAAGCTTGGATAAAAAACAGGATATCTTTGGAATCTGTTCATCTGGTCCAGTTCCAGCACCCGTTTCTTTTCTGTGTCATATCTGGCAGACCACTGCTACATATTTTAATGATCGGGAAGACAAGGTTGAGCTTTCAAAGCTGGCCCTTGGATCATAGGATCTCCTCCAGCCAATTTATCTGACCACAGCTGTCTTTCCAAGCCCCAGTTCAGTTGCACCTTTCTTACTAGTAGCTGGCTTGATGGGCAGAGATGCCCTGCAACTCTGCCTTGGTGTCACCAGGCTAACAAGATACGCACAAGACACAAGTAAGATGGGAAGGCTTGAGGAGATGGAGCGAGTAAATCCAGGCTTAAACCAGATTTAAATCCGGGTTTCTGGATGACGCGTCGGCATTGATCAAGGATGCACCTTGGTAAGGTTAATCGTTAGAACTGTGGCCGCCAAGTTCACATCGGCATGGTCAAATTGTTGTGGATGTATAACCCAAAATGTTGCGGTCTGACACGTCTGGCAGAATGCTAGGACTGGCTCTTCAGCCATGATGTGTTTAACATGGTTTATTGAATGAATCAGTTTCTGGGTGCAACACTATCGTGGTTTATAAGCCATCAAGACTGGGTTCAAGCAACATGACAAACCCAAACCAGCCAACGCTGCTACTGCTTCTTCTTCTTCTTCTTCTTCTTCTTCTTCTTCTTCTTCTTCTTCTTCTTCTTCTTCTTCTTCTTCTTCTTCTTCTTCTTCTTCTTCTTCTTCTTCTTCTTCTTCTTCCTTCTTCTTCTTCTTCTTCTTCTTCTTCTTCTTCTTCTTCTTCTTCTTCTTCTTCTTCTCCTCCTCCTCCTCCTCCTCCTCCTCCTCCTCCTTCTTCTTCTCCTCCTCCTCCTCCTCACGTCTGCCAAAATGGTTTTTCAACTTTCCAATTAAACCCTAATGCGCTAATCAATTTTGTTTGGCTTTTTCAAGGTCATAAACATACAACTAGCTGCTGCCACCAGCTATAAACTTATGTGTCCCCCAAAATTTAGTGTCCAGTTGCTTGGCGGAAGGCCAAAACCTGGTTTGTAAGCAGCTATTATGATCGTTATCTATTGCAGCCTACGCTTTTAACTTTAATCCTCATATGTACAAAATGCATCTCCCCCCACCCCAATGCCTGTTTTGTCCCATTAATAATTCAAACGGCTGGTGGGGCTTTTCAAAACAATGAAACCAGTCCCAGCGTTCCAGATCTGATTAAACCTATCAAGGTTTCAAGCTTCTTTAGAATATTTGCTGGTTCTTAATTTCCCTAATTAATATGGAATGAACGTTCTTCTCTGTTTCCTGATTTGCAATAAAAGATCTCTGCTCCCTGCAAATGTTGTATAATTTTTTCCTCCTCTCTCTCTCTCTCTCTCTCTCTCTCTCTCTCTCTCTCTCTGGCTCAGTTAATTGCTCCCGAGACTAAAAGACAGAAAAAGGATCATTCTATAAGTGATCTGATTCTTTGCAGTATCTCATCTTAGAGCCCGAAGCGGTGTTTGGTCAATAAGGGCTCTACTCTAACATTTCAAAACTGTGAGGGGAGGTAGCTGCTTCTACCTATGTCTGCCCAAAGCTGTACTTAGCCGGAATTTTAATCAAAATGATATCTGCTTTTTTTTCTCGGCGGGCTTTAGCAATAGGAGCTTGGCTGCAGAATCAAAGCAATAATTTGCCATCCCAACCTGGTTAGGTCTCTCTCACCTGTTCAGTGGAATTTTGTTTTTCTTCTTGGTGTAGGTCAACCTTGTGTTGGATGAAGGACGATCTCTGGGTCTGATGATTCGAGGGGGATCTGAATACGCCCTGGGGATTTACATCACAGGGGTGGACAAGGATTCGGAAGCGGAAAACACTGGTTTGAAAGTAAGTTTAGCTGAGACTCTTGGGTGAATCCGGGAGGGCCCTGGTGTATTTATACAGTGCATCCTATAAATATGCTGTGCAAACATCTTGGCCAGGCTTTCAGCTGAGGGAAGCTTTGGACAAGCTACAAAGTTTTGAGAATAAGTCAACTTTAGAATATCATAGAATAGAATAGAATAGAATAGAATAGAATAGAATAGAATAGAATAGAATAGAATAGAATAGAATAGAATAGAATAGAGCTGGAAGGGACCTTGGAGGTCTTCTAGAATTGTCCAGCCCCCCACTCAAGCAGGAGAAACCAAAAAAGCTAATACAAACCTGGGTTGTATGAACAGAGGCATAGAATCAAGATCACACGAAGTATTAGTACCACTTTATAAAATCCTAGTGAGGCCACAACTGGAATACTGCAGCCGATTTTGGTCACCATATCACAAAAAAGATGTTGAGAGTTTGAGAAAAAAATCAGAGAATGATCAAGGACCTGAAGACTAAAACATACCAAGAACGGCTGCAGGAGTTCGGTTTGGCTAGTCTAAGGAAAAGAAGAAATAGGGGAGATATGATAGCAGCCTTCCAGTATCTGAGGGGCTGCCACAAAGAAGAGGGGGTCACATTATTCAACAAAGCACCAGAGGGAAGGACGAGAAACAATGGTTGGAAACTGATCAAGGAGACAAGCAACCTGGAATTAAGGAGAAATTTCCTGACAGTGAGGACAATCAACCAGTGGAACAGAAGTTGCCTTCAAGGAATCGTGGGCACTCCATCACTGGAGATTTTTGAGAAGAGACTGGACATTCACCTGTCTGGGATGGTATAGGTTCTCCTGCTTGAGCAGGGGGCTGGACTAGAAGACCTCCAAGGTCCCTTCCAGCTCCATTCTGTTCTGTTCTGTTCTATTCTATTTTTCTTTTCCCCTATTTCAAGGTCACTGCACCTCGAAAGTGTTGTCAACCAATCTTCATATTTTGTCATTCCAAATGGCTCAGAAGGTGACAAAATGCAGAATCAAGAAGAGCGGATGGCAATTCTTCATTTTCCCCCAATGGCGATTTTCTGTTCATTTGTTCATTAGTCTCCCACTGACACTCCCTTCCCCCCTTCAGCTGCCCCAGAGGAAATTTCTTTTTTTTTTCTATCCTGGATCACAGAATTGCTTGTTTTTGTAAAATGCCAAATGGTTTCAAGCCGGCGACAGAACATTAGGCTCAGGAAAGAGATGTGAAATGATAACTTCGGGTATATAAGCAACATTATTTCCTACAAATAAATGACTTCAGGTCGTCAGCTGAGGGTTATCATCCCATCTGTTCCTTTGTCCCCTTACAAGTAGGAGATAATAGCCCTCCCAGAGTACTGCCTAGATTTCTGTATCATTCTTCTACCTGCCGCCTGTCAGGCACAAATAACTAGACCCACATGCCTAGAGTTCAAACTAGCTACTTTATTGTTTTCTGCCTGTAATACAGGAATCTTCCGAGACTGGCAGATTTGCTGGGAAAGACTAACTCAACGGCATTCAAGGGCGGTCAGACCTTGCCCTGGAATATTGCATCCAGTTTTGGTCACCACAATATGAAAAAGATGTTGAGACTCTTGGAAGAGTTCAGAAAAGAGCAACAAAGATGACGAGGGGGCTGGAGGCTAAACCGTAGGAAGGACGGTTGGAGGAATTGGGTACATCTAGTTCAGACATATCAAACACAAGGCCCAGGGGCCAGATGTGGCCTGTGAAGTGGTTTCATGTGGCCTGCGAAGCCATCCTAGAAACAGTGAGGGGATGGCCCCTTCTGCCTTGGCCATGGCCCAGGCCAGCCAGGAGCCAATGTACAATTTTGTGGTGGCCATCTATGCTGAAACACATTCAGTCTTAGCTCCAGAAGCCCCCTCCCTGCATGGCCTGAGAGGAACAGTGAGGCTCCTCCATTGAACCATGCCTTGGCACTTGCCCTGGTCCCACCCCCTTCTGCCAGAGACCCTCCGATCTATCCCACTCCTGCCCAGGCCCCCACAGGCACCCTTGACGCGAACGATGTAGAGCTGCCCACACCCACCCAGCAGGCCACACCCACTCCATCCACACCCACCCAGTAGGCTGCACCCACCCTGGCCACACCTACCCAGCCCCCCTGAGGGCAATCACAATGCTGGTGCAGCCCTCAATGAAATTGAGTTTGACACCCGTGGTCTAGTTTAATGAAAAGAAGGAGTAGGGGATACACGATAGCAGTGTTCCAATATTTGAGGGGCTGCTACAAAGAAGAAGGAGGGGGTCAAGCTATTCTCCAAAGCACCTGAGGGCAGGACAATGGATGGAAACTAATCAAGGAGAGAAGCGACCTAGAACTAAGGAGAAATTTCCTAATGGTGAGAGCAATTAACCAGTGAAATGGTTTGCCTTTGAAAGTTGTGGGTGCCCCATCACTGGAGGCTTTTAAGGATAGAATTGGGCAGCCACTTGTCTGAAATGGCACAGGATCTCCTAGTTGAGCACGGGGTTGGACTAGGAGGGCTCCAAAGTCCCTTCCAACTGTGTTATTCTATGACGTTCTTGTGCTCACATAATGAGTCCGTGCTAATTCCCCGTTTGATCTTTTCTCCAGACTGGGATGGTTGCTGTCCAACATAATCTGAACTGTCTCTGATTCTACATATTTCCTGCTCCTCCCATCTACATTATCTCCTGACTAACAAAGCTGTTTTTTTTTTTTAAAAAAATACAGAATAAACCTTCTCTTCTTCATTCACTGTTCTTGTTAGTTTTCACCAGAATGCCCTGGCCTGCTAGAATGTGGAGAAGAAGCAGGAATAAGGACAGGGGGAAACGTGGTGGCGCCTTTTAGGGATACTCATCCATCTTGGGAGCTCCCCGTTTTTCTAGGAAAGACTGGGAACTTGACCTTCTCATTTTGCTCCAGGGAGATCATTCTAGACATTGCATCCCCTCGTTTGTCGAGAATCGGATAGCCACTGGATTATTGCACGTAGCTGCTGGCTTTGACGGTCATTCTCCAGGAGCGAAAACCAGCTTCCCTCTTTGCAGATTTCCACAAAGGCTGTCCTAGCAGAGACCTGACAGATTGCTTGTCATCTGATCACGGGAGAATACGTGGAGGCTAGTGGCAGAAGGTTTCTCCTCTCCCTTTCTCTGAGATGGAAGTAAATATCTTCCCCTGTCATAAGGCAGGAACGTAAATCTTGCAGCCCGGATTGGCCATGAATAATTCATCGTGACCTAGCTTTTAATGTGCTGGCTGTCACACCGGAGGCAAACACTGCACACTGGTGCCATTTGACTGGCATCTCAGTAGCCTTCCCATAAAACTCCTTGTTCCTTCGCTTCCTTGTCTCCATAGTAGACCCCCGATTACCAAGAGACAGCAGTGCAAAGGTTATAAAAGTGTGAATTAAGACCACCTGGTTCCTTTTCAGGTATCTCCCTTACTTCTCTCGGAAGCCACCCGTGCGTGAAAATATAAAGTCACGAAGGCCATAAAATTTTTAATAGAGTTCTCTTTCCCCTGGCTCTTGCTGAGTTCACCTTGTTTTAGAGGTGGCAGGAAGCCCTGAAGGCTATTTCCAACCGTTGGCCTTGTCAATAGTGGCCGTTAATGGATTTCAACGTGTAAAGAGAAAGAAGAGAGAAATTGGGGTCGGAGTTGATCAATCTTTTCCATCGCGATTAATAAGCTGGCCCTGCAGCTGTTGCACAACAGAGAGAAAACGACTTTTAACCAATTCCAAATCCAGGGTCTGAGTTTCAACCAAAGGTCAAGCTTCGTTAGCTTTAATCTTATTTAGATCTTTGTGTGTGTTTGTGTATGTATGTGTGTGTATGTCTGTGTGTCATTTAGTGTGAGTATTTTGTTGCTTTGCAGTTTGGAAAGGGAGGTTAAATGAGTTACTGTCAATAAAGGAGAATATTTTAACTCAGAGTTGCAAATGAGGGGTCCTGGGTGCTCTCTGAGCTTGGTAGTTTTCTTGTAGATGTTTCATGACCCAACTAAGTAACATCATCAGTGCTAGAAGGGAGTGGAGTTTGTTCTTATCCTTCTCCTCCCTCCTCTTTCTTCCTCCTCCTTTCTCCTCCTTTCTCCTCCTCCTCCTCCTCCTCCTCCTCCTCCTCCTCCTCCTCCTCCTCCCTGCAAACCTAACTTCCTTCTAGCACCAATGATGTTACTTAGTTTGGGTCATGGAACATCTGCAAGAAAACAAACAAGCTGAAAGAGCACCAAAGACCCCATCAGTCACTGGGTCTGCTTGAAGACTCTCTCTCTCCGGGATACCTCCATGTAGGTAGCACCCAACCATGGATCATAGTCAATATGGCCGTTGATGTTCAATAGAGCTAAAAGATGCCCAGTTGAAAAGAACCGCCCTTGTTATTACCGTCTTGAGGAATAAATGAAAATATCTTTGATGGATTCATTTTCCAAGGCTTCCATCTTTCAACGGGAGAAGGTCTGTGGAGATTCTCAACCATCCAGGTCATGGTTGTCCCAAAGGCGCTTTTCCAAAAAGGCAACTGGACTTTCTTATGTTTTTTTTTTTTTCCCCTTGAAAACATTTCACTTCTCATCCAAGAAGCTTTCAAAACACCTTTGGGACAACCCATGGGAGTTTCTTCCTTCCTTTCTCCACAGGTGGGGGACCAGATTCTGGAGGTGAACGGACGAAGCTTCCTCAGCATTTCCCACGACGAGGCTGTGAAACTCCTGAAATCTTCTCGCCATCTCATCATGACCGTCAAAGACGTGGGAAGGCTACCTCATGCCCGGGCCACTGTGGATGAGACGAGGTGGATCGCCAGCTCCAGAATTGGAGAGACGATGGTCAATTCTGCAGGGTTGGTATCTCCTCAAACAGAGGTCCTTTGCAGGAGTGGGTTTGTTCTAAGCACACACGCCGTCTGTTGGATTTGGTCACCGTGGGCTCTCTCCTAAGAATGCTAAGCTCCATAATAGAGCAGACCAGTGTTTCTCAACCTCGGGAACTGGACATTGTGTGGACTTCAACTCCCAGAATTTCCCAGCCAGCCATGCTGGCTGGGGAATTCTGGGAGTTGCTCACATCTTCAAGTTCCCAAGGTGGAGAAATTCTGGAGTAGAAAACTTCCTGATAACTAAGGAAGGCCAGTCTTTGGCCAAAGGATTAAGGATTCAGAATTATCAGTCTGTCTGTTTGTCTGTCTGTCTATCTGTTTGTCCATCCATATCTATCTATCTATCTATCTATCTATCTATTTATCTATCTTATCCATCCATCCATCCATCTATCTCTGTCTGTCTGTTTGTCTATCTATATCTGTCTCTCTCCATTATCTATCTATCTATCTATCTATCTATCTATCTATCTATCTATCTATCTATCTATTTATCTATCTATGGTCCAGGGAAAGGATTTAGTCCTTTTTGTTCTTTTTAAACATCCCATGAATGTTTCAGGGCTTACCGTCCATTACACCTTTATTGATTTCCTACTTCAAAAGGGAGGAAACCGTACTGTCAATATTCAAGCTCAAAGGGGCTGCGTGACCATTTTTTAAAGCATTGCTTGCAAACCTCGGTGGCTTGGATTTCCACAGGGTGCTAAGACAAACCAGTGCAAGTCACAAGAATGGAGCAAATTGGGAATAATAATAATAATAATAATAATAATAATAATAATAATAATAATAAACAACTAGTCAAATCCAATCTTTCTTCCTATGAATAGAAATTCACCAGTTCAGATCATAATGGACCAGGGTATTTCCACTAGATTGAATTCCATTAGTTGTTTTTTTAAAATTATTATTATTATTATTATTATGGATCATCGCAGGGATAGGCAGATGTGATGATGATGATTATTATTATTATTATTATTACTATTATTCTCTAACATCACCAATTAGCTAAGATTTCCGTCTATCTTCACTTCCAACTTTCTTTTTTTGGTGGTAACACCTGTCTTTCCTTGCAGGGCCTCTGGAGATCCTGTGGGGGAGATGACACCAAAGGTAAGATGGACATTTTGAAGCTAGTGTCCTATTCTGTTATAGTAGTCCTTGATGTACGACCACAACTGAGCTAACATTTCTGTTGCTAAGTGAGACATTTCTGCAGCAAATTTTGCCCCATTTTACATTTTCCTCCTCCTCCTCCTCCTCCCCCCCCTCCTCCTCCTCCCACAAACCCCACTCCCTTCTAGCACTGATGATGTTACCTAGTTGGGTAATGAAATGTCTGCAAGAAAGCAACCCAGCTCAGAGAACATGGAAGGGAGTGGGGTCTGCGGGGAGGAGGAGGAGGAGGAGGAGGAGGGGGACCCCACTCCTCCTCCTCCTCCCCGCAGACCCCACTCCCTTCCAGCACTGATGATGTTACCTAGTTTGGGTCAAGGACTGCCTGTATTGTGGACAGTAACGGGGCGCCCCTGTCTGTGTTCGCAGGCAGAGGTTATCGTAACCCTGGGAATGTTAAGCACCAGCTTCGGAATTTCATTTTATTTTATTTTATTTGCTTGCTAAACAGTCCCCGCAGCTTCTGAGCTATTGTTATTTACCCTGGGCTCCTTATGACTTCTCCAAGTGAGAACAGGAAAAAAAAAAAAAAAAAAAAACAGGAGAAAACAGCTTTCTGTCGAGGCGTGCCTTTCATTCATTCAGCTAAGCCTAGGTCTAATTCGGTTGGCATAGCAGCATTTTATTTATTGGCAAGATCTTTCTCCCCCCCCCCCCCCAGTCCTACCTGGCATTGAAATATCACCTCCAGAAAAGCAGGAAGGATTCACCCCTGAAGCCGCAGCCCTTCAAGTCTGCCAATCAGAAGACCTTCCTTAATTGCTTTTCTTTCTTTCTTTTTTCTTTTGGTTTTTGTTTCTCATTCTTCATGCCTCAACTAGACCCAGTCTGATGTTTCTCCCACAGCCCAGTTTGAGAAGGGCCCTGTGGCTTTCCCTGCGTGCATAACAATTATGATCCCGGAGGAGGGGCCGATTTCTCCTTCGGGCAAGGGGGTAGAAGCTGAGTTGATCTGTCTTTCTGCTTCTCCTCCTCCTCCTCCTGGACCGCTAGCGATGGATAGAACCTTGTGGAGACTGCCCCTCGTAAATTTTAAACTCTTCCAGGACCGATCCAAACTTTAGAAGCGCCTTTGCGCCTCTGAGGACTTTGCAAAGTCTCTGCTTCTAAAGCAGCTTCCCCCAGTTCGGCTCCCTCTTCTTCAAATGGACATCTGCTGAACGGCAGAGGTGGCTTTTCTGCAGACCCCGAGATTTACGAGGATCTTTCGGTGGGGCTCCCTTGGAGCTTGTTAGCCTTCCTTTCCTGCAGAGCAAAAGTTGCACGATAAGCAGTTTGCAGCTACGGTCTTTGGAAAAAGGCAGCGGGAGAGCAGTAAAACAGCTATGGAATTGATACTCTGTTCTTGTCTAATTCTATTCTAATTCTAACTTCTATTCTATTCTGTATTTTCTATTCTAATTCTAATTTCTATTCTATTCTATATTTTCTATTCTAATTCTAATTTCTATTCTAATTCTAATTTCTATTCTAATTCTATTCTATTCTATTCTATATTTTCTATTCTAATTCTTTCTAATCTATATTTTCTATTCTAATTCTAATTTCTATTCTATTCTATATTTTCTATTCTAATTCTAATTTCTATTCTATTATATTCTATACTTTCTATTCTAATTCTATATTTTCTATTCTAATTCTAATTTCTATTCTATTCTATATTTTCTATTCTAATTCAGTATTTTCTATTCTAATTTCTATTCTGTTCTGTTCTGTTCCGTTCCGTTCCATTCCATTCTATATCCTATATCCTATTCTCTATTCTCTATTCTATTCTATTCTATTCCTACAATAGCATGATAGATATAGCTTCTCTAGAGGCATAAACAAATTAGTTGCAATTACGGTGTTGTGAACAAACCCCATTCTGGATCCAGAAAGCAAATTATTATTCAGTACTCAAGAAGATGCAAGGTTGAGGTTTCTTCCCCTAAGTGTCCTTCAGGATTTTGAGGGCTCTCTAAACTAGGGATAAGAGAGCAAGCAATTTCGGGAACAAGGTCTCAAGAGGCAAAAAGCAGAAATTCATGTCCTAATTCAGAACCCATTTATGCTTTTGCCCTCGGTGGTATCTGCAATGAGACTCTTCAAAGGACAATGGATCCCGAAGATCAGCCTGCTCTCCACGTTGAAGCACTGGGGCCTGCAGGGAGTAGGACTGTGGCACCAGATGGGAAGAGCTAAGCTATGCAGCTCAGCAGGGTCACAACTGAGAAAAAGGAGAGGTGGATTTCCTGGGGGCATGAAGTGGCTTTTTTATTGTGGACCCATAGAGCAACATTTTACTGCTTCCTTCTCGCAGAATTTCAAAGGACCTGGGAGAAATCCCTGGGGAACAGGTCTATGAATAGTTAACCTTGAAGATTCCCCATTATCTTTATCCCTTTTAATGCTAGTTGCAGAGGGAGGAGGAGGAGGAAAAAAGAGAAGGAGGAAGGAGGAGGAGGAGGAGGAAGAAGAAGAATAGAGATGGAGAAGGAAGAGAAGGAGGAGAATGGAAGAATAGAGGAGAAGGGGGTGGAGAGGAAGAGGAGGAGGAAGAAAATGAAGAATGGAGGAGGAGGAAGGAGGAAGAATAGAGATGAAGAAGGAAGAGGAAGAGGAGGAGGAGGAGGAAAATGAAGAATGGAGGAGGAGGAAGAAGAGGAGGAGGAATCTAGTTCTACTTACAAGCATCCCAGGTCCCTTTGGAAACCAAATGTTAGGTGAGGGTGACCACTGAATGTAGCTGCTCCTACATTCTCATGGCCAACCTACCACCATCGGAACCTTCTAAAGGCCTCCTAGAAGCCAAAGTTCCTCCCAAAGCCCGCGGGAGATGGGAGCATTATCGCTTCAGTCCCCCGATTACTCTGCAGGCTGAGAAGCTGCACAGGGACAAAAAAACTGCCACCTCCGCAGAGCAATCAGCCTGATTTTTTAAAATAAGGGCCACCCTCCAATCAATGCTTCCAGCATAATAGGCATCTCGCGGCAGGCTACCGCTCCTTCTGTTCCAGTGCAGTTCAGGGTTATCCACCACCCCACCCTTGTTTAAAAAATCCAGGTTTCTCCATGCTCGAGAAATTGCTAGAAAGGAAGAATGCCAAGGTTTCAAGGTTAAGCCGGATGTGTTCCCATCAGCATTCATAAACCTTAGCAGGTAATGAGATGGTTGAGCATTTGGAATGCAGCTGAAATGCAAAACAGGAAATATAACAGGATGGTGTTACTGTGAATACATATTTCACCTCCAAATGTTTTTTAAGCACATACCCAATAGCCCTAGATAGGGAGGAGAGGCATTGACCATTCAGCAACATCTGGAAAACCCCTGCATTTCCGCTCCCTCTTTCTATTGGCTGATGCCTGATTTGGAGTTTCGATTTAATCTTACATTCTTACGTTCAACTTTTGACTGACAATGCATGGAATCCTTTCTGTTTGCTAGCCTTCTTGCTTTTCTGTAGAGGGTCAGCTTATTTGGGCAACCTTGTGAGATGGAAAGTTGTATTTGTGCATGCGTGGACACACACAGACACCTTAAAGCACAGTCATCACTGCTAGAAATGTGGCTTTTGTATAACACCATGTCAGGCACGAAGAATCAGGACTGTTCGTAAGGTTGCAGCATTTATTCAGGACACAACTTCGCAACTAACAACAACAACAAATAAACAAGAATAGGGACAACTGAAGTCCAACACTAATTGGGTGCCAGATAAGAGTCAACGGACTTCAGGAAGGGTTGGACACGCTCATGGGAATGCAATGATTCTAAACTGATGACTAACTCCACCCTCCCAGCTCTGCCTGCTCTTCTCTTACACACAGAATACTAAACCTGCTAGTTAGCATAGAAGAGCCCAAGGCTCTTAGATATTTTGTCTACAGCAGATTTAAACTGGAATCCATAACCTCTTTAATTAAAAGGCAACAATTATCAAGAGACCTACTTAAAAAAAATTCTACATGAACAAGAACATGTGCGTTGCCCAAGCAGTGTTTAAGAAAATCACTCGCACACAAGCGCAATAAAACAAGAAGCTGATATTTTAGTCTAAAGAAAGTTCTTCTGCTTAGTGCCTACAATAATGTTATTCCTGCAATATATTGCTTTGGTGAATGCCATTCTCGAAATATGAGCGCTTATAAATCCCTTAAATTTATCATATTCCTCCTGTTATAATTGCGTGCTTTATCATCTATTAGCCAGCCTCCTTCCTCTGCCAGTATTTATTAGGACTGCTTGCACAGAATGTTCATTAACTAATAGGCTACGGTTTGTGTAATCCTAATTAATTTTCTCCAAAGCTGCTCTGTGTTCCTCTTCTCCTAGACATCTTTTTATAAAGGCCTTGCGGGATCTCAAGTAACATTGAATAGCCTGGTGAACCAAAGCCGAGTGATGCTGGAGGAACACGCACGCCACCTCCTGAATGAACCCGAGAGGTCCACCATGGCTTACTACTTGGATGAATATAAGGAGAACAACATCTCGGTGGATTCCCTCATCCTGGCTCTCTTTGAACTGCTCAACACCCATGCCAAGGTTAGTGTGGTGGAATGGAGTCTGGATTCCCAGGAGGGAGGGAAGGGCTGCTTCCAAGAGGGCAAAGAAGCAGTGGAGCTTGGAATGTCTGGTACTGTGTAGGAGATGACCAGGCTAAGCTTGAGGAAGGGGTCAAATGCACCAGGAGTCCCTGCACGCCCACAAGCGATCTGACTCCAGCCTGCCTTGAGTGCTTCTTAACTCCTATCATTTCCCTTAACCGTTAGTAGCTCAGATTCTTGTAGAAAGCTTAAATCTTTATCCTACTCATCTGAACTGCCTGAATCTCCTGAAACATAGAGTACATACGCATATTATCCTTGTCGCAGATTCGGTTTCAGCGCCCCATTTTCCGTCTTGTTCTTGCAGTTCTCCCTCCTATCAGAGGTCCGAGGAGTGATATCTCCACAAGACCTGGACCATTTTGACGACCTGGTCCTTAAGAGGGAAATAGAATTCATGAAGGCCCGGCAGCCCTCGGGGACCGGAACAGACTGTTACTCTACAATGTCCTACAGCGATTCTGCTTCTTGTACGGAAAGCCATTTCACGTCCACCACAGCCAGTTCAGCTCGGGTAGGTATGCTTGACTCAAGCTCGGCTCTCAGATATTGGCACGCGATGTCCCTATCACCTTATACAGGCAGTCCTCAACTTACAACAGCTCATTTAGTGACCAATGTTATGAAGGCACTGAAGAAAAGGTGACCTACAACAAGCTTTTCACACTTAACGGCCCTTGCAGAATCCCCACGGTCAGGTGATTAAAATTCAGACCCTCGGCAACTGGTTCATACTTATGATGGTCGCAGTGTCCCGGGGTCACCTGTTCCCCTTTGGTGACCTTCTGACAAGCAAAGCCAACGGGGGAAGCCGGATTCACTTAACGACGGTGTGACTAAGTTATCAACTGCGCTGATTCCCTTAGCAGCTGTGGCAAGAAAAGTTGTACAATGGGGTGAAACACACTTAAGCATTTGTCTCGCTTAGTGACATACATTTTGGGGTCATACAGCAAGGACTCCCTGTATTTATGGTGTAGACACAGAAATATGGAAAATAAATAGACAGACAAATACTTAGATAGACAGATAATAGATAATAGATGATGGATGGATGGATGGATGGATAGGTAGGTAGGTAGATGATGAAAATAGAAATAGACAGACAGACACTTAGATAGACAGATAATAGATAATAGATGGGTAGATAGACAGATAAACAGTAGATAGATAGATAGATAGATAGATAGATAGATAGATAGATAGATAGATAGATAGATAGATAGATGGAGAGAGACAGATATAGAGACAGATAGACAGACAGACAATAATAATAAGGTTGGTTGGTTGTTTTCTTGCAGACATTTCATTACCCACCTAGGGAACGTCATCAGTCAGGAAGGGTGGGCTTTCCTGCCTGTATATATCCTTACTGTCCAGTAGCTTTAACATTTAAAGCTGTTGTCTATAAACATTTTTAAAACATTTTTCTTCCTGAGGAAAGGATTTTTAGAGAGCAGAAGCAGCATAGAAAAGATACCTAAGGGCAAAAAACCAAATCTCTCCAGGAAATCCAGAAGACACCTGGATCTTGTGCCAGCGTCTTCTCTTCCCCCATCTCCCCTCGTTGCTGCCAAACAAAATTAGGATAATCGCCTTTTTAAATGTGCAGCCCTGAGGCCCAGGAAATCAATTTGCTGGTAATAAAAACACCTTTCCTCAAAGCCTCATTAGCAAGCTCGGGGAGAGAAAGTCGGTTTGACTGAAGCAGGTTGCCGAATGCCTGAACTCCAGTGAAGCCACAGCCCAAGGTGGTGGTGTTCAGCTCTGAAGGGAGTGCTGGATAAGGTCCTTTTAATGTTAGAAAATGTTGGCTGAGGCTCCCACAAAGAAGAGGGGGGGTCAAGCTATTCTCCAAAGCACCCGAAGGCAGGACAAGAAGCAACGGATAGAAACTAACCAAGGAGAGAAGCAACCTGGAACTAAGGAGAAACTTCCTGACAGCGAGAACAATTAATCAGTGGGACAGCTTTGCCTCCAGAAGTTGTGAATGCTCCAACACTGGAAGTTTTAAGAAGAGATTGGGCAACCATTTGTCTGAAATGGTATAGGGTCTCCCGCCTGAGCAGGGGGTCGGACTAGATGACCTCCAGGGTCCCTCCCAGCCTTTGATTTCAGGTATCTCCTCCAAGGTGCAACGTGCCAACAAAATGCCTCTCATTGAAACATGTCACACTCTTGAACGTGTGATGCCCCCAAGGAACGTATCACTGGAGGAGATCTGCGTTAGTCTCTGGCCAGAAGAATGTCAGAAAGTAGCCTGGGAAACAGCTTTCCCAGCTAACAATTTTTATTCGAAGGGTTTTTTTTTTTAATGCATCCGACGATGGGAGCTGCCGTTTGCAAAAAATCTGATGCCTAAATTAAAAAAAAATCTCCTGATTTTTTGGGGGCTGCCAGGTAACAGAAGCAGCTAGGAAGATTCTTAATAAGTAAAACGAAAATACTTTTTAATGCCCATTTGTGTGTGTTTTTTTTCCCACTCGGGCCTTGAAAATTTACCGACAGGAAGAAGCAGCAAATCACATTTATTGAGATGTTTTGCTTTTGTCTCCGGTCTGCTGTCACGATGCAATTACCTTTCCTAAATTAGTCTCCCTCTTCCTCTGAAGCCCATTCAGATTAGAAGGAGGCCCTCCCTGTTAATGTCCTATATTGCATCAACTAACTCCACTTTTAATCAACTTGGATCAGCCGCCCCCTGTTTTTTCTGAAGGAGCCTATCTAAAGGCCTTGGATGAAGTGAGAAGGAGGCATTCTTCCTTTTTCTGTCCACTTTTTCTTTGCAGAGGCATCCCTTGATAGGTTTCTCCGTCCTGTCTTTCTACCAAGCCGTTTCCATCTTGCAAAACAAGCAAGCAGGCAAATGGCAGCCCGATCGATGTGCTAAAGCAAACTGAAATCCAATCCCTCTTTTTTTCATTGACAACCGACCCAGCCGTGTAAAACCAGCTCCAACAGTTTGAAAACCTGTGGCTGTTTCAGTCAAAGGCGGTTATTGACAGGGGAGAAATGAAAGAAGGGAGAGAAGAGAAGAGAAGAGAAGAGAAGAGAAGAGAAGAGAAGAGAGAAGGGAAGGAGAAGAAATCAAACATTAGAATGGCTTGATGGCATTGAGGGAAGGGAAGGGAGAGGAGAAGAGAAGAGAAGAGAAGAAGAGAATATGGAATGGAATGGAAGGAAAGGGAAGAGAAGATAGAAAATAGAAAAGAATAGAATAGAATAGAATAGAATAGAATAGAATAGAATAGAATAGAATAGAATAGAATAGAATAGAATAGAATAGAATAGAATAGAATAGAATAGAATATGGAAGGGAAGGGAAGGGAGGAGAGGAGAGGAGAGGAGAGGAGAAGAGAGAAGAGAAGAGAAGAGAAGACTTCATTTGACCAAGTGTGATTAGACACATAAGGAATTTGTCTCTTGTACAGAAGCACACAGTGTACATGCAAAACAAAATAATAATAATAATAATAATACAAATAAAGAGGGTAGTAAAGAAGATAATAAGAAGGATAATAATAATACTACAGCCATACAACATGGGTAAATAGGCATAAAACAGGATTGTGAGAATTAGGTGTTCAGCAGAGCGATGGCACAAAGGAAACGTCTAGATGTTTTGGCACACCATGCCCTCTAGCAGCATCCCAAGTGTGTGTCCGGGATGGGAGGCATCTGCAGAGATCTTCTCAGCCCTGCGCAACATCCAGGTCTTCAGGGGAAGGAATGGCTTTCTCCAAGGCAGAGCTCAGCCAACTTCGAGGCAATCAATATAAACCTGTCACATTTCAGTGCCCATCTTCTCTCTTGAGAACCCGTTTTGAAAGTCAATTCCCCTTCATCACAGGGTGATGAAGACCGTGAGGGGAAATCAAGCGAGGAAATTGCTCTGCCCAGGTTTAGCTTAGATTGCTTTTCATTTTTTTTTTTTAGCTTCTAACCTATTTATTCCTCTACACCTTTTCCCTTTATTGCATGCTGTGTCCACCTCTGCTCAACTCACGTGGCCAGGAGAGACTCTTGTGGCTGATTGATTTGATGGAGGTAAGCAATTTCTGGAGGGATTTGTGTGTGTGTGTGTGTGTGTGTGTGTGGTGTTGGACAGGGACTAGGAGGCTAGGGAATCCAGAAAGAGGACTTGGGGGCCATCATGGTCCTAAGTGAAATTGGGATTCACTAAAGCGCCTGAAGGCACGACAAGAAGCAATGGATGGAAACTAATCAAGGAGAGAGGCAACTTAGAACTAAGGAGAAATTTCCTAACAGCGAGAACAATTAACCAGTGGAACAACTTGCTTCTAGAAGTTGTGGGTGCTCCATCAATGGAGGATTTTAAGAAGAGATTGGACAGCCACTTGTCTGCAATGGTTTAGGGTCTTCTCCTTGAGCAGAGGATTGGACTAGATTAGATGACCTCCAAGGTCCCTTCCAACTCTGCTATTCTGTTAAAGGGTTCTGGAGAACTGTACCATTTGAATGTCTCTTTGAAGAAGGATCTGATGCTGGGAAAGATGGATGGAAAGAGAAGAAGAGGATGACCATCAGAAAGATCAATGGACTTAGTTGCAGTGGCACTGGAGGTCTATTACAAGCAGATCTCTGTAGAAGACTCTGATGTTGGGAAAAGTGGGTGGACAAAAGAGGATGACCAACAGCAAGTGGGGTGAACGTAGTAACAGTTGCGAGGAATGCACCATTGGAAGACCTGAACAGATTGGGGACAGATCCTCGTGGAGAAAAATCTATCCTTGTGGCTGCTAAGACTCAACGGTAGCGTAGAATCAATGCATCAGATCAACCCATCAATCCTGTGCAAAGATCAGCTCCTTTGAGAAGCCCTGATGTTGGGAGAGGTGGAAAGAAAAAGAAGACAACAATCAGCAGCGACATAGATGGATAGACAGTGATGGTGAAATGATGAAGAGCAGGAGGACCAGGTTGGGAATGGATCTTCCTGAAGAAAATCTGTTAAGAATGGATTTCACGGCACATCATCAATCGATTGATCCATACCAAGTGGAAGTAGGTGGCAAATTGGGCCGTTGAGCTCTAATGAGGAGAGACATAATTTAAAACGTTTAGGGAAGCTGACTTTAAATTATGAATGCGACTTTCCTTTCTCCTTGAAACGCGCTGCCTTTAAAGGCTGTTTAATTTTTAATTTTGTTTAATTTTTCAGTGAAATTTCATTCACTGACTGCAGAGTTTAGAGAAACGCGCCCTCTGAGGGCATTCGGACGCATTTTGATCTGTCCCGATAATCTGAAACTTCCTGTTTTTATTTATTTTCCTTTTAAAAAAGGAAGAGGTAGAAAAAAAATTGAACAGATTCCCGCGGGTTTTTACAATGTCAGGCAAACGTTTTTCCTGCAGTGTTTTGTTTTCCTTACGTGTAGATGCTCCTTGTGCTAACAGTCCTGTTTTACCCTCAGCACATTTTGCTGCTGGTGGTTGATCATTGCCTAAGAAATAATTTCCGTTTTGCTTCTTGCGCTTCAAGTCTTGTCAAAAAGGAACCCGCCAGCACAGCCTGGTTCCTGTCCACCTTCCTCTTAAGGATTTCTCAAATCGCTGTCATGTTTTATTAGCGGGAGTTTAATTGTGCTTTGTACTAATTGAAAATGGCTCAGGCTGATCACAGACATTCACTGCTTTCCAAATAGATTTTAGAACGGAGTAAGCTATGATGGGGGGGGGGGAGAGGCAGGATGTTCTTTCTTTCTTTCTTTCTTTCTTTCTTTCTTTCTTTCTTTCTTTCTTTCTTTCTTTCTTTCTTTCTTTCTTTCTTTCTTTCTCTCTTCTTTCTTTCTTTCTTTCTTTCTTTCTTTCTCTCTCTCTCTCTTTTTCTTTCTCCTTCTCCTTCTCCTTCTTCTTCTTCTTCTACTTCTACTACTTCTTCTTCTTTTCTCTCTCTCTTTCTTTTCTTTCCAATTCTTCCGGAGGTTTCTCGGATTTTTTTTATGAAACCTGGGATTGACTGCCCTCTTGTGCATCAAGTAGAGAGGTTGGTCGTGACTTAGGCGAAGCCAGACGAGGAGATTTTGAGTTAGAGGAAATGACTTTGAAAGGAGAAGTAAAGATGGGATGGGTGAGGAGTAGAGATTTTACAATTGCCGTAATTATGAAATGGCCAAAGCAACAGAGAAATGAGAGAGAGAGAGAGAGAGAGAGAGAGAATAGATAGATGATAGAGAGATGGGTTGAGAGAAAGAGAATAGATGAGAGAGAAATGGATTGGGGGGAGAGAATAGAGATAATAGAGATAGATAATAGATGGATGGATAGACAGGGATGGAGCATAGATAGGTGATAAATGATGGATGATAGATAAATGATAGACAGACTGACAGACAGACAGAAAGATAGATAGACACTGTAGATGGATAGAAAGAAAGAAAGAAAGAAAGAAAGAAAGAAAGAAAGAAAGAAAGAAAGAAAGAAATAGTAGCTGCTGGTTGCTTTGTGTGACCTTTGTGTGCAGTTTTCCTGCTTTCTTAAGCTTCCCAATATTTAGCCTTTGAAGAATGATGACATGGGCCTTTTATTCAACCCCCTGACAGTCTCTACTTCCAATGCATACTGCTCCAGATATCAGCCAGAATACAAGGTGAGGTCCAATTTCCAAAGTTGGTTACGCCAACTTTTTCATTAGAGAGAGACAGAGTGATCCCAAACGGCTGAATGGAGAAGAGCTTTGTATACCGAAAGACATTGTGATTGGATCCCTCTGTAATATCACATTTCTTGTTTATTCCCTGGTTGCCAGAATTCTTCCAATGGGGATAGGAGTGGAAGCCAAAGCAGGATCAATGCCTTACCTGACATCTCTCTGGTAAGAGACCATCTCAAGAGGTTCTTCTCCTGGTTTCTCTCCAGCTTCAATGGTTGTAGGATGCGTTGATGTATGAAATCGTTGCCTTTCTTTCTTCACCTGAGCACCCAGCATCCATCCCACCATTTTGTTCTGCTAAAGGAGGTGGAGGTAAGGGTGAGGGAGGCAGAGAGTAGAACTTCTGTTACGTCCCATTTATGTCACCAGAGTCTCAAGCTGCTCCTTAAAGCAGCTTAGGATATTGATATCCCAGGATTAATTCTAGTATCCCACTGAGACACGGAGAAGAGAATATTTGTTGCTCAGGGTTGACCTGTGGTGTCCTTGGTGCTCTCTGAGCTTGGTAGTTTTCTTGCAGATGTTTCATTAACCAAGCTAGGTAACATCTTCAGTGCTAGAAAGTAATGGGTAGAAAGGAGGAAGAGGACTGTGGGGTCCTTGGTGCTCTTTAAGCTTGGTTGTTTTCTTGCAGATGTTTCATGACCCAACTAGGGAACACCATCAGTTCTAGAAGGAGTGGGGTTTGCAGAGTGGAGGAGGACCATGGGGTCCTTGGTGCACTCTGCGCTTGGATGTTTTCTTGCAGACATTTCATTATCTAACTAGGTAACATCATCAGTGCTAAAAGGAAACAAGGTTTGTGGTGGTGGTGGTGGTGGTGGTGGTGGAGGAGGAGGAGGAGGAGGAGGAGGAGGAGGAGGAGGAGGAGGAGGAGGAGGACTGTGAGGTCCTTGGTGCTCTCTGAGCTTGGTGGTTTTCTTGTAGACCTTTCATTAGAAAACTAGGCAACGTCACCAGTGCCAGGGATTCTTTATGCTATGTCTAAATTCACAGTGGGTCACTGAACTAGTTACTCATTGAGTGGAGATTAAATATGTAGTGCAATTGGATGACCTGCACCCATCAAAGTAGTTCATATTCAACCAACCCCACACTTGTTTCTGGCAGGGTCCTTCCCTCAGTTGGAATCTCAACCCCTGATGTCTCCCTCACCATGGAAGGATGGCCCTCTCCTGCTCTTCTAGCCATGTCTGAATGTTCTTTCATCCATTCCTTCCTTGTTTAGGATGATGTCTCCTCATTCTGTGAAGAACTTCCAGCTTTTAGACCCTCACCTCCTGCTGCCTCCTCTCAGTCCGGGGCAGACTCTTCAGACGAAGCACACAAACCTGGTTTGGGATCTTCTGAATCCTTCCAGTCAGGGCTGTTCTTCAGGGCTCCTCAAGGCCCCAGGCCATCTTCCAGCCTCTCTGAGAAGGACACCTACAGCCTTGCCTCCAGCTCCACCACCGGCTCTTCCGTGGAGGACTCGGCCGCCAGCTCCATCTACGCCTCCATCTCTCCAGCGACTTGCGCTTCTAGGAAGCCCACGGAGGCCCGATTGTTGCTGATCAACCAGCACCCGATGCTACCCTTCCCTCGGATCCAGTCGCCCACGCGGTTGAGACAGCCCTCCCCGGAGACGGCTGGCCCAGCCCCAAGCTCCCCTACCCCACCACCCCTCCCCTCCCACCCAGCTGCTTCCCCTCCCAGCGAGAAGGGCGGATTTGAAGTGGGGAACACCCAGCATTTTATCATGGTTGAAGTTCACCGGCCGAATAGCGAACCGGATGTGAATGAAGTCAAGGCATTGCCTCAGGCCAGAGGTGACCTCTTCATTTCTTTGACGTTCTTTTTTCTCTTCTTCCTTCCTTCCTTCCTTCCTTCCTTCCTTCCTTCCTTCCTTCCTTCCTTCCTTCCTTCCTTCCTTCCTTCCTTCCTTCCTTCCTTCCCTGACCCATTCTTCCTCCCTCCCATTGTTTTCCTTCCTTCCTCCCTCCCTTCCACCCTTCCTTCCCTGACCCATCCTTCCTTCCTTCCTTTCTTCCTTCCTCCCTCCCTCCCACCCACCCTTCCTTTCTTCCTTCCTTCCCTCTTCCTGCCTTCCTCCTTCCCTCCCTTTCTCCCACCTTCTCTTCTTTTCTTTTCTTTTCTTTTCTTTTCAAATCTAACATAAATAGTGCACAGTCGATGAAGTGGGCACGGAAGTCCTTGCGCTTGACAATACATTCCGAAGGGAAGTGAGCTGCCCCCTTGGTGCCTTTCTGCTCATATAAAATAGTGAATGCAGCTGGTACATATTTTCATCCAAATATTTACGCATAGATTAGAAGACCTGTAAGGTCCCATCCAGCCCTGTGGTTCTCTTCTCAGCCCCCCCCCTCCCCTTTCTTTCTCTGCTGCAATGTCTCTGCTGCAATGTCTCTCGCCATTGTTTCCCATCCCAGCCTCCACGCTCTCCCAGCTCTCGGACAGCGGGCAGACCCTGAGTGAAGACAGCGGTGTCGATCTGGGAGAAGCGGAACTCAGCACCAGCAGAGAGAGGAGCCAGCGGCTCCGGGGACTGCCGACGCGAAGCCCGCAGGAAGTCCCCAGAGTGGGTGGAGCAGTGGAGACAGGAGCCAAACCGGTAAGGCATCCCTCGGGCATGAGCATTAGCAACAGGCAAAGATGGGGGGGTGGGGGTTATCCTAGAGCCTGGCCCCAGTTCGTTACCCCCCGCCCCCACATTTAAAGTCACAACTTCAAATCAAGCTCAACCCCTAACCCAAAAGTTCAGAGGAGAGCAACTAAGATGATCCAAGGCCTGGAGACCAAAACATACATAGAACGGCTGCAGGACTTGGGTTTGGCTAGTCTAAAGAAAAGAAGAAATAGGGGAGACAGGATAGCAGCATTCCGGTATTTGAGGGGCTGCCACAAAGAAGAGGGGGTCAAATTATTCTGCAAAGCACCAGAGGGCAGGACGAGAAGCAACAGATGGAAACTGATCAAGGAGAGAAGCAACCTGGAATTAAGGAGAAACTTTCTTAACAGTGAGGACAATTAGCCAGTGGAACCACCTGCCTCCAGAAGTTGTGAATGCTCCAACACGGGATGTTTTTAAGAAGAGACTGGACAGCCACTTGTCTGAAATGGTATAGGTTCTCCTGCTTGAGCAGGGGGCTGGACTAGAAGACCTCCAAGGTCCCTTCCAGTTGTCTTCTATTCTGTAATAATAGGAAAGTGATTGGCTGTGATTTCCTGCTGGTGCCCATCGATGTAATACAGGTAGTTCTCAACTCATGACTACATTTGAGGACCTTTCTGGCCACTGTTGTTAACTGAATCGCTGCAATTGCTAAGTTAATCACATGTGGGTTAAGGGAAACCAGATTCCCCATTGACTTTGCTTGTCAGAAGATGACCAAAAAGTGTTCATGTGACTCCAGGACACAGCAAACCGTCATGAATAGGAGTCAGTGGCCAAGCGTCAGAATTTTGACCATGTGACCCACAGGGATGCTGCAAAAGTCATGAAAAATCCATAAGTCGCTTTTTCTCCATGCCGTTGTAACATTGAACGGTCACTAACGGGATGATTGTAAATCGAGGATAACCTGTAAATCAGAGCTAACCCCGCTTAGCTTTGCGCTCTCAACGTTATAAAGCCAAGCATCACCTTTGAGGACTCCCTGTAGTGTTTTGGGCAGATTTTCAAGTCTTTTGCCCTTGGTTTCTTTCTAGGGTGGAAAGAGAAAGGCTGGCCAAAGGCCACTCCGTCGGTTTCCTGCCTAAGGCAAGATTAGAACTCAGGACTCCTCTGTTTCTAGTCTGGTGCGCTGACCAACTAGCCCAAATTCCCTCTTAGGCAAGGAGACGGGATGAAAACTCAACACGAAACGCCTCCTTGTGATTTATGCAAAATAATGTCATTTTCCTAGGAATTATACTTTGTAATAGAGTAATTTGTGCTGACTAACAACGGCTGGCGTTGAACTTGGCAGAAAATAAAGGCGGCCAGGTCAACTTTTGTCCACTAGAGGGCAGCATTGCCCTTCCACATTCGAAAACAAATCACATTTCTTCATTTCTCAGCATAGAAAAAAATGAATCCCATCCAGGCAGTTAATTTAGCCCTCTTTTCTCTCTCTAGTTTGTCCCAAGCTGGTGAGAGAAATAATTGCTTTTATTCCTGGATCATATCCTGCCTTACGGGAAGTCCTCGACTTACTCCAGGTCATTTAGTGACCGTTTCAAATTACGACGATGCTGAAAAAAAGGGACTTTGGACCTTTTCCCACCCTTTCAATCTTCCTAGCATCCCCATGATTGTGTGATCAAAATTCGGAGGCTTGGCAACTGACTCACACTTACGACCGTTGCCGTGTCCCGAGGTCAGGCGATCCCTTTTTGCACGCAAAATCAATGGGGAAGCCAGTTTCACTTAACAACTGGGGCAAGAACAGTCGTAAAGCGGGACAAAACACACTTAACAAATGTCTCACTTAACAACAGCAATGTTGGGCTCCCTTGTGGTCGTAAGTCGAGAACCGTCTTTATAAAGTTGGGCCAACAGAGGAGAATTCTGATTTCTTTCAATGTAGATTCTTTCTTTCTTTCTTTCTTTCTTTCTTTCTTTCTTTCTTTCTTTCTTTCTTTCTTTCTTTCTTTCTTTCCTCCCTTGCAATTTGCAAGTTTTGCTCCCTGCAGAACAACTTCCTCTCTGACTCGGTAGTCGTAAATTGAGGACTTCCCGTAATTGTAGGGGCACCGTCCATTTGGCCCCTACGCTTCGCCCAGAAGCAAAAAAAATTAAACCTTCCTTCCATCCATCTCTCTATCTTGCCTTACTTTCTCTCTTTCTTTTTCTTTCTCCCTTCCCTTCCTTCCTTCCTTTCTTCCTTCTCTCCCTTCCTTCCTTCCTCTCTATCTTTATCTTTCCTTTCTTTTTCTTTCTCTCTTTCTCCTTTCTTCCTAACTTCCTTCTACGCACACACACATCCCGTACCCTAACATTTTGCAACAGCGGTTTGATTGCGCCCAAGTCAGGGTTTCCCTGGGATCGATTATCCCGCGAGATTTGGGACTTTAGTAAAAGTTTGGAGATGAGTCCTTCCCGTCCCTTCCCGTGCCAGCTTTGCTCCTCCTTCTCCACTGATGTTCTTCTCCACTCTTGTCTCTCTGCAGCCAGGACTCCTGGAGCCAACGTCGCATCTCATCCGGGTGCCTAAGAGTGCTCCGACCTTGGGCATAGCCATTCAAGGGGGTGCAAACACTCGACAGCCCCTGCCTAGGATTGTCACCATCCAGGTATGAATTCAGAGGGTCCTCCTTGAGGAAGTGGTGCTTCCTTGTCCTCTGAAAGCACATCCAGGTCAGTTGTGTTTTGTAAGAAGTGTCGGCAAAATGCTGGAGAGGTTTTCCCCATAGTTTTGCTCTTAGCCCAGCCCTGACCTTGGAGAAAAAGAAGGACCGTTGTAATAAGCTCTTCCCCTCAACTCCCACAAAATGATTGAATTGTTCTTTCTTTCTTTCTTTCTTTCTTTCTTTCTTTCTTTCTTTCTTTCTTCCTTCCTTCCTTCCTTCCTTCCTTCCTTCCTTCCTTCTCTCTATCTTGCCTTTCTTTCTTTCTTTCTTTCTTCCTTCCTTCCTTCCTTCTTTCTATCTTGCCTTTCTTTCTTTTCTTTCTTTCTCTTTCTTTCTCTTTCTTTCTCTCTCCATCTTTCTTTCCTTCCTTCTTTCCTTCCTCTTTCCCTTCCTTCTTTCCATCCATCTCTCTATCTTGCCTTACTTTCTCTCTCCCTTTCCTTCCTTCCTTTCTTTCTTCCTTCCTTCCTCTATCTTTCCTTTCTTTTTCTTTCTCTCTTTCTCCTTTCTTCCTAACTTCCTTCCTTAATTGTCCTTCCTTTCCTCCTTTCCTTTCCTTTCATTCTCTTCCACTTCCTTCCCTTCCCTTCCCTTTCCTTTCCTTCTTTCCTTCCCTTCCCTCCCCTTCCCTTTTTCTTTCCCGTCTTTCCTTCTATGACACAGAAAGGCGGTTCGGCTCACAACTGCGGCCAGCTGAAGGTGGGTCAAGTCATCCTGGAAGTCAACGGCACGGCCCTCCGCGGGAAGGAGCACCGCGAAGCCGCCCGCATCATCGCTGAGGCTTTCAAGGCAAAAGAGAAGGATTACATTGATTTCCTTGTCACAGAATTCAACGTTGCACTTTAGGGAGGGGGGGAAGAAGGGCCGTCTGGAAGAGCCCGAAGCCAAACGCCCAAGAGACGGCAGGAAAGAACAGGGTGACAAGGTGTCTGAGGCATCCAGTCGCGTACACACCTGTACACTCAGGTAGAGCCCAGACAGGATTCCCCACCGAGCAGACGTAGGATTGGATTGACCGCTCCTCAATATAATTTCTCTCGGCTAAGTGCCCCCCACTTCTAACGGCTCCCCAATCTTGATAGACCTTGAACATGGGAGAGAAGCCCATCATCCTTCTTCCCAGCGATCAATCTTAACACCATTTAGCTCACCCGTCTCTTCATTTTTGCCTCTGTGTTTGAATAACCTGGCAAGACACCTGTATGAAACACCTGCTTTCTCTCGTAGCTCTGCGTACCATCTCCCCCTTGTATCTTACGGGAACATTTTGCTATCATGCCAGGTCCCAGAGATTTTGGGCATGAGAAGATGGGGACACCAAGTAGGACCATCTGGGGACACCGATTCTGACGGTTTCAGGATTTCATCTTTGTGACGGACGCCTCTTGAAGTGACATTTCCCCAGATCCCGCCTTGTCATCGGTCCCTAGCCAATAACGGGGCAACCCTTCACGATTTCACTCTGTGTACATAAAAGAGAGACTCTGGTTTAATTTTTCAATAAACGTGTTAGAAAAAAAAGAGAGAAGAACAGTGGGTATTATTTCGTTCCACCCGTTTGTCATCACAAACGGGCAAAACTCCCTGATCCCGGGACGTTGCCACCGTCGTAAATATGAGTCGCTTGCCCGGGTGTCCGAATGTGGATCACGGGACCCCGGGGAAGCCACCACGGTTGCGAGTGTGGAAAACACTCCTCGGCCGCTGTTTTCGGTGCCGTCGTAACTTTGAGCGGTCACTAAACGAAGCGTTGTAAGTCGAGGACTTTCTTCGCTGCCCGGTTTAAGTGGCGTTAAAATAGGTGTTTCTTTTCTGGTGGATGTGAGCAGGGATGGAGGCAAGACCTTCCCGCTCTTGTAAAGCAAACACAAACAAATGCACGCATCGCTTTTTTTTTTTATTCTTGGCTGATAAGGGTCGCAAGCCCACTCCCCTTTGCAGTTGCCACGGGCGGCGCCAAAGACAGTCGGGTTTGTGGAAATGCCCCCCTTGTTCAGGGGGATCCGACCCCTCCTATCCCAATTTCCCCTATTGGCTCGTGCAGGCAAATATCACCCCCCCCCACAAGGACCCAAAGCTTAAGGAGAGGCTTTGACTTCCATTCAAGGATCTCCTTATGTTAATGACATCCCACCCCTCGCCTCCCTCATTGGAGGATAGCCTTGTCATTTGCAGCTCTGCCCAGCTGGCTCCTCCCAGCCCCCCCCCCACCCTCCAGATGCGTTTCGACACTGGTAGCCGCCAATTTTTACAACTCCAGGAAACGTTGCTTCCCTCCGCCCTGTCCGAAACTTCGCAGGCTGCAACTCAAGAGCAAAACTTAAAACAACTTAAAACAAGGAGAAACAACTTCGTTTCCTCGGTAACTGTTGGGGCTGGGGGTGGGGGGTTTCCCCTCCGGTGGTCCGTTTCTGTTCTTCTCCTCTAGCTGCTTGCAGAGGTGGTGGGCTTGCAGGAAAGATCTGGGCGGGGTGGGCAATGCAGTCCTGGAAGGAAGGCGGGTGGGTGGGTGGGTTGCTTTTAAACAAGGGGCTGGCGACCACCCCCTCCCTCCCCTTGTCTTTCTGGCTGGTGAGCGCTCTTTCCAGAACTGCATCCTTGGGGAGCGCATTTTAGTGCGCATTTTTGTGCAAAGGGAAAGAAAAGGGGAGTGGAAACGTGGCTTTCCTTTTTTTTTTTAAATCACCAGTTGGGACGCTCTTTCTCCACCCGCCCCGTTTGATTCTCTGATTTTTCCCGAAGTGAAACCCTTTGTGCCCGCTTTCACACACACCCTACCCCTATCCCACCCCCCGGAGCCTCTTTCCGTTCCCAGTCGCGCCTTCTTTGCTTCCTACCCTTCCTGGCGCGCTGATTTATATCAATAGATGCCCTACAGCTAAAATAAAGAAGCGCTGGTTTCCGCCCGCCTTCATGAGGGCGAGGAACGTGCTGTGCCCGGTCTGTTTCGCCCAGGCTGGATTTGAACCGCCTGTTGCTCTGGGTTACCTTGAAGGAGGGGGGGGGGGAAGCCATCGCCTGCGGAGACGTCTTGTTGGGTTCCTCTCGCTAAGCAACGGTTGGGAACGCCGGGGCCGCTGGTCGGCTGATCTGCCTCTCCTTGTAAGAGTTTTTAAGATTTTGTTTCTTCTTCCAAGGGGGAACAGAGGGCTTTTATTTCAAGGTCCCAACGCTGCTTTTTTTCAGGAGGCAACTGGCCTTTCTTGTTTTTCTTTGAAGACGTTTGGCTTCTCCTCCAAAAAGCTGGATTGTGGGGAAGAAGCTGAAGAAGCTTCTCGGAGGAGAGGCGAAACGCCTTCCAAGAAAAAAAAGAAGTCCAGCTGCCTCTTGAAAAAAGAAAAGCACCTTTGGGACAACTGTGGCCTGGATGACCGAGAATCTCCCCAGACTTTTATTTCAAGGGGTGTCATTCTGCTTGCAAGAGTTACCAACCTAGAAGTAAGGAGAAATTTTCTGACTGTGAGAACAATGGAATATTTTGCCTCCCGGAGTCATGGGTGCTCCATTACTGGAGGTTTTCAGGAATAGACTGGTCAATGATTTAACTGGCAGAGTATTACGCCTTGAGCAGGGGGTTGGACTAGAAGACCTCTGGGGTTCCTTCTGGCCCTATATGCTAAATATAGTCTATGAGCTGGACAAGAAGCAATGGGTGGAAACTAATCGAGGAGAGAAGCAACCTAGAACTAAGGAGAAATGTCCTGGCAGTGAGAACAATTCACCAGTGGAACAACCTGCCTCCAGAAGTTGTGGGTGCTCCATCACAGCAGCTTTTCAAGAAGAGAGTGGACAGCCACTTCGCAGAGGGTTGGACTAGAAGACCTCCAAAGACCCCTTTTAAAACTCTTGTTATTCTGTTTGTCTTAACCTTAGTTTTCTGCGGCTTCCTGCATTGTGCAAGCCTAGGGGTTCACTGTCTTGTGGAAACGTACAAAATGGGTGGATTCGGTAACTAGCTAAGGAAAAAACGAAAGAGGATGGAACAAAGTGGAAGCCAAAGTTAACGGTAATAAAAGTTAATATTTCCAAATATTAAGCTACCAAGCTCTCTGCTAGAGAGGCTTCTTCGCGACACTTTTATAGATACTTTGGAGAATAGGAAAACCATTCTTTTAAATCTTGAACCCCACTCATGCCGCCTGGGGTGGATGGTGTGTCTTTGTGCACTTATGAAGATTAACTAGGTTTTGATTCAGTGAACAGGGGAGCCTCACACTTACCCTAGGGTACCAGATGGCTTGCTGTGGACCATGTTCAGGAGAAGGGGAGGGGAAAACCCCAGCAAAATCCACGTGAAACTGTCCCTGCAGCGCTTACCAAAAATAATATGGTTATGTAAACAATTTAGTAGAAGAAAACAGTAGTGGGGGAGATAAGATCTCTACCATTAAGCTTTCTAACTATTAAGAATTTTGCACAGCTTCAACATGGTAGCTGAAAGTGCTTCCTCTTATGCACCAGAGACAAATTCGTTGTGTGTCCAATCAGTAAAGCTGTTCTATTCTGTTCTGTTCTGTTCTGTTCTGTTCTGTTCTATTCTATTCTATTCTATTCTATTCTATTCTATTCTACTATAGAGTGTTTTACTCTTCTATTCTATTTTACTCTACTCTACTCTACTCCTATTCTATTCTATTCTATTCTATTCTATTCTACTATAGTGTTTTACTATTCTATTCTATTCTACTCTACTCTACTCCTATTCTATTCTGTTCTATTCTATTCTATTCTACTATAGAGTATTTTATTATTCTATTCTATTCTATTCTACTCTACTCCTATTCTATTCTATTCTATTCTATTATAAGAGTATTTTACTCTATTATTCTATTCTATTCTATTCTATTCTATTCTATTCATCCCTGCCTTTATGTCCAATTTCTCTTCTCCTTTCTGTTCCCTTATCCTAAAATTTAAAAGGTATGCACTTTAGCACAGAAATGCTAAATTCTAATGTGAGAGGCAGCTAGTTTCTTCTTGGTTTCAAGTTTTGAAAACCCTCTTTTGTTTTTAAGAAGTTTCTTCAAGTCAAGAGGGTCTGCAAATCAGAGCTGGGGTGGGGAACCCCTTTGCTGCATGTGGAATAGTTTTTCGTTTCTTTCCTTTGAAGCGTGTATCGTCCTTTTAAGTTGTTTGATGAATTGTGGCTTGGCATTCAGCAGAGGCTGAACGCTTTCATCAGGCAGAATTCATGCACATGTCTGGATTATAAAAAACTTTCAGCTAGCCAGTAAGAACCACTTTTAAAGCATGTTGACTGGGAAACAGGTTGCGTTCAAACCTGAATCCTTAAGCCAGCGTGCACGCTTTGAAAAGGGGGGTTTAATCCAACAAGTTGCAAAGTCCCCCAGTCAACTTTCAGGCTAAGGTGGGACTTGAACTCACAGCTTCCCACTTTCTAGCCAGGTGCCTTAACCACTGGACCAAATGGGCATCTAAAGCTGGGGTGGGGGTGGGGAATCTGAAAAAAAAGAGTCAATATCCAGAAAGAGAAGAAACAGAAGGAAACCCTGACTATTTACAGCAACAAAATATATACTGCATGCTTTTTCTAGCTTTAGAATAATTTTTTTTAATGCAAATGTTTTTCTAGAATTCAGATTTGAGGGGGGCAGTAAATGGATTTGTTAAAATTGATTTTATTTCAGCTCTTCTTTTTTTAAAGACTCTCTGCGTTTATTTATTTTTTTTAAAAAAAACTTCCTTTACAATGGTGTATATGTATGGGAGGGGCACTTAAGGGACACAACGGAGCACCTTAAATTTCCTTGCCTGTTTGGTGTGTCTCTTTGACCTTGTATAGTCCATAAACCTTAGAAAAGTCCTCTGTGACCTGGAGAAATCAGATCGTCTCCATTCTTTATATTTTTCTGTCTAACTGAAGTAGGGGCATCAAAGAGAGAAAGAGAGAGATGCCCCCAGGCTTTTTGTGAGCTTCCCAGCCAGATGTTTGTGTAATTGTGGAGGAGGGGAAAAGCTTGCTGCGAATTAGAGGGATGGGGGAATTGAGTGTCTGAAATGGACAGTTGCTTTGTTTGGAAAAAAAAAAAAAAAGCAGATGGATATTAATTAGGTTAGCAGGGACAGGACCTGTCTTATTACTGGCGTGGGCTTCTCTTGCTCCTGTTTGATTAGCAAGGAGAGAGAGAAACTCCTTGCTTTTTATTCGTATAGCGTCCGTTTAGACACACAAAACTGGCAATCTTCGCTTTAAAAATGTAGTTTTTGGACAATCAGAATTGCGGAGGCCATCAGCTGTCCAGCTCTGGATTCTGGATGGGGGTGGAAGGCAGCTGTCCAGAATCTCAGATGGATCTTTTGCTGAGTCTCATCTGGAGAAGAACTGAATAGGCGACTCTTTAGCCAATCAAACTAGACAGTCTGTCCTGAACTGCAGTGTTTTGCATTCAATCAGTGTCACTCTAATTAAATTATCTTTCTCCCCCACCCCCTTTGGAGGTCCCCTCTGCTTTTTTTAAGAGTTTCTGAAATACCTCTCCCTAGCGTTTATGTCAAAAGCTCCAAAACCCATCAACCATGGATGTGTAGGAGAAAAGCAGGCAGAGCTGGAGGGTGGAGTGAAATAAGTCATCAGCCTAGATTCCTTATGTTGCCAAAAGCAATTCAAGTCTTAACTCCTCCTGCATTATCTGTGCACCAGTTTAGTGTGGAACTTTAGTTGACCAGATTCTTGTGGATCAATACGTCAATCGTCTCTGCTGCAACCTAACCGGCGGTCCTGATTCTTTGTGCCTGACAGGATGGATCCAACCAAGATTTTAGAATGACTCTGGTTAATTAATAGCCTTTTAATTGCTCTTCAGGGATGGTGGGAATCATAGTCTAATGATAGACCAATGGATTGGGAAGGAGAAGTTGGACTTCCCCATTTCCCACGGTGTCCTGGAAGGGTGAAGCACCGGATGGAATGATACCCCTTTTGGAAGGATAGACTTATCTTCACTGTATAATCCTGAAAATATTGCTGTGTGGTACAGTTTCCTATGTATTTATATAGCCCTCTCTTGTTTTCCAATGCCTGTTTCCATCTTGCCATTAAACTCTGTTCAAAAGTCGCAGAGAAGATGTGTTTATCTGATTTTGAACCCTTCTTGGGATGATCGTGGTCCAAGTGAAAAAAAAAAAATAGGTGACCTACTTTGATAGCTAAGTAGCTGGTCCTCAAATCTTCTGTCTGGAAGCTCTGGAGAATTCTTTAAGGGCTTAATGTCTGGAAGGAAGCCTCAGCTTCAACATTTCTACAGCCAGAGTCTCATCTCTGAGTGAATCAGGATGTCTATAACATGATGTTAACATCTGATGCTCAAAGTGGATTTTGAGACTGAGTTGCTGGGAGACTTTGCACCAAATAAATGGTCCTCTGCAGGGCTGCTCCAAGCTTCTTTTGCCGCTTGCAAGAAATTCTTTAGCTTTGCAATTTGGCTGCTGTATTTCTCACTCCTCTGCGGTTAGGCTTCTTTTTTTGCTTCCCCGATGGCCTATTTCTCCATCACAGTCTTTGGCAATTCTGCTTTTAGTGTGTGGCGACACTTGGTTTTCTGAGCTTCCTCTTCGCACTTCATGTCTGACTGTTCAGGCTATAGGTCTTCTGTCTTGGATCTTGTCTGTCCGACACCCTGTGTTTTGTTTCTGTGACCTGGTTTAGAGTAGAATTGATGGTGTACAAAAAGTTTGTGGCAATTGACACGTTTATTTTTTCCATGTTAAAGAGTTTGTGGTTTTCTACCTCAATTGCAAATTGTTTTAGAATGTTCCACTGAATAAGATTTTATCCTTGCTGCACACAATTCTCTCTCTCTCTCTCTCTCTCTATCTCTCTCTCTCTCTCTCTCTCTCTGTGTCTCTCTCTGTCTCTCTCTCTCTGTCTTTCTTCTCTCTCTCTGTTTCTGTGTGTGTGTGTGTGTGTGTGTAAAACTGTCTCAGTTGCACATATTTCTATCACTTACCCTTCCTGTTTGCGTTTCCTGCCATAATGCAATCAAGTAAACCTACATCAGATAATGCTAGTAGCTCAATTCAAATCTCTATTAATCTTTGCAAGAGATGCTTTCAAAATAAGCAAACTTAGGTCTCTAGGCAGTGGTTCTCAACCTGTGGGTCGGGACCCCATTTGGGGTCGAATGACCATTTCACGGGGGTCGCCAAACCACGCTGTCCGCCATTTTTTTCCCTTTTCCCTAGCTGTCCTACTCCCTCTTATTGGTGGCCACACCCACTTGGGGGTCACCACAACATGGGGAACTGTATTATGGGGTCACGGCATTAGAAAGGTTGAGAACCACTGGTCTAGGACCTCTTAAATCGGAGAGTTCCTTTTCTTTCTACACCTCAGCTTCTAAGATTTAGACTCACGGGCTAAACATTAGGAGCACGTGAGCAACAGAAGAACATCCCGCCTTGGGAAAAGTTTAGGTGATCTCCATGAGTCCCATCCAGTCCCTGGATTAGATTACCTCCAGAACTGTGTGTGGGACAACCCTTTCCTCAAACAAAACATTGTGTGAGAAAAGCATGAGCAAGCCAGGAGGCATCTGGTGTGACCTCAGTTTGATATCTCAAGGTTTTGTCTCCATGAGAGAGGCTACCAGCTTTTAATGGCTCTACGGCTGGGCTGTTCTTCCTCTGTCAAAAAAGCCACATCTTTTCAAGCTTGGTGCCAAGACCCCAGGACTCTTCTACCAAACCATAACTTCATAAGGAATTCAACTTCACAACCATTGCAACGTTCTTTATTATTATTCTTATTAAAATAATAATCATTTAGGTCTTATGATAGGGCAGAGGCGTTTGCAAAAAAAAAAAAAAAAAAATCTATCCGCCGTGTTTGGCAGGCTCAAACGCAGCTGTCAAATCGAATGGTCAAAATGGAATGGACACGGCGGAAAGCAAGGAATTTTGGACGCTTTCTGAGGGTGGAACCTTAGTAAAAATAAAATATGTTTTGCATCATCACGGAACTGTAATCGGAGCTACTTGCAGATTCTGTAAGGCAGTTTGCAGAAATGGGGACCACTGTGGCACACAGTGGAGGGATTGTGTCGTTTTCCACTCCTGGGGGCGACCTAGATAGATTTTTTCCCCTAGATTGGTTTTTTTTCCCCACCCTGGACTCCCTGTCTGAAATCGGTGGCTGTCATTTGAAGTGTCCAGTGAGCTCCAGTCAGTAACTCAAGGACTGTGCAGAGCGCATGCTTGGATTTTATTTTATTTTATTTTGGGGTTGCCTTGGTAATTCAGCAAAGGCCCTGGATGCTGTGTGGAGGATACAGAAGGATTCCGCGCATCGGATTGGATCTGCTCCAGGCAGTGATCCAACGTTTGACCAGCAAGGATAAAATAGGAGCAAAGAAACTCCTCCCTCCCTCCCTCCCTCCCTCCCTCCCTCCCTCTCTCTCTCTCTCTTTTCTCTCTCTCTCTCTCTCTCTCTCTCTCTCTCTCTCTCCTTTCTCTCTCTCTCTGAGAAACAGAGACACAGAGAAACAGAGAGGAGAGAGAAACAGAAAGAGAGAAGAAAGACAGTGAGAAAGAGAGAAGAGAGAAAGGCACACACAGAGAGAGAAACAGAAAGAGAGAGAGAGAGAAGACAGACAGAGAGAGAGAAGAGAGAAAGACACAGAGAGAAAAACAAAGAAAGAGAAACAAAGAGAGAAGAGAGAAAGAGAAGAAAGACACACACACACAGAGAGAGAGAGAGAGAGAGAGAGAGAGATGGTTTTCATGTGCTTTCCCCATGTGTGCACTTGAATTCATTTTGGGCTTCTGAAATTTGGGCAGGATAGGTATAAGAAACCTCAGAGGAGGAGGAGAGAGAGGAAATTAGAAAAAAAATCTGGAGGCTATCAAATAGAAACAGAATAACCACATTGGAGGGGACCTTGGAGGTCTTCTAGTCCAACCCCCTGCTCAAGAAGAGACCCTACACTATTTCAGATAAATGACTCGTCCAATCTCTTCTTGACAACCTCCAGTGTTGGAGCACCCATAATTTCTGGAGAAAAGCTGTTCCACTGATGAATTATTCTCACTGTCAGGAAGTTTCTCTTTAGTTCTAGGTTGCTTCTCTCCTTGATAAGTTTCCATCCGTTGCTTCTTTTCCTGCCTTTAGGGGCTTTGGAGAATAGCTTGACCCCCCTCTTCTTTATGGCCGCCCCTCAAATGTTGGAACACCCCTAATCCTCCTTTTCATTAAACTGGACAAGAAAGAAGGAAAGTGATTATTAAAGCTTGCTTTCAGAAGCATTAATTTTCTTCTGGGGAATCAGCTGGGGGGGAGACCTCATTTCTTTCTTAGCTACAGAATCAATGCAGTCATTCTGCCGGGACAAATGTGGTGGCGTAGGGTTGGGGGTTTTTTTGCTGCCACTTTTGTGTTTGTGTGGTAAATGGCACTGCCTGAAACAACATCTGTGCATCTCCAGCTGCACAGAAAGAAGAGCTGGAGGGGGGAAAGGAGGGACTTCCCAGAACTAAGCTAACTCCTGGGCTGGTTTCAAATATAGAAGGTTCCACTCTCTGAATATTCGTGTCTTCGCTTTAAGTAGTTTAATTCAAGATTAGGCTTCTAATACCTTCTGGAGCTTTTAACACACTTGGAAGTCGAATTCTGTTGGGAATAAACACTTGAGGTAGTGATAGGATTAAAGCATAAGGTGGACTGGTCAAAGGGACACTTCTTTTTTACTTTCTTCTCTCTTTCTCAATTCTCTCTCTCTCTCTCTCTCTCTCTCTCTCTCTCTCTCTCTCTCTCTCTCTCTCTCTCTCTCTCTCTCTCTCTTTCTCTCTCCAGGTGACCCTTTCCTGATTGAGAGCCTGCAGAAGATCCATGAAAGATACACTGAGAATTGCACATTGTCCACCCCAACTGAGAACGTCAAAGGCGTCCATCTTCGTATTGAATTAGCAGCCTATGGATAAACCATGCCACTTTGGACCTTCTCTGAGACCATTTTTCTGGGCTGTTATTTGTTCCCTCACTCTCCTTTGGATGGAAGCCTTCAATGAAGCCTCCACATGACCTATCTTCTTCCAGGTTTATCCTCCGGGTCTTTGCAGAAACTCTGATGAAAAGGCCCCAATGAATGGTCTTGCTTATTTTACTTGTTTTGCATTAAGGAAGTTATCCCACAACCGTTCACGCCCTTAGCTTCCCTTCCTGGGAATGCAGGAATGGCTGGGAGAGGAAGCCATGGCTTTGGAGAGCAGCCCTACAAGGAGAAGGAGGAGTCAGAAGAAGGTGTTGAAGTTGAGGGGAGAAGGGATGGAGACCTTCACCTTGGAGAAAGCAGCCTGCCAGGGAATTTGGACTGCTGGACCTTGTCTTCTTCCCAGGAGATCCTGGAAGATGAAGAACTTTTGGGGGAACTTTTGGAAGAAGGCGAACAAGGTTTTGATCTCGGTGAACTTCAAGATCTTGAACGTGATGTCAACACTTCAGGTCTCCTGCCTGGTGAGTAGCAGAGGAAATTAGGGACCCAAATCTCTGGTAAGGTTATTTGGAGTAATATCTGAACTGGAGTGGAGCTTTTGTGCATTCAGGGAAGGTAACTGATCGGGCTTTCAGTGGTTGAGAGCAGATGTTCTGGAGAGCCCCCTTGTCACTGGTGCATCTTAAGGAAGCACTGGGTGCAGCTAGAACAAAAACTGGATGCAATCCTTAATTTTTTTTTTTTAACATCTTTTAAAATTCTGTCTCTCTTTGGCTTTTCCAACTCCTAGATAGCTTGGGTATATTTTCGGCCAGACCCTGAAATACCAAAGCACAAGATGTTAGATGCTAGATGTGCCAATAGAATGGAATGGAATGGAATGGAATAGAATAGAATAGAATAGAATAGAATAGAATAGAATAGAATAGAGTAGAGTAGAGTAGAGTAGAGTAGAGTAGAGTAGAGTAGAGTAGAGTAGAGTAGAGTAGAGTAGAGTAGAATAGAATAGAATAGAATAGAATAGAATAGAATAGAATAGAATAGAATAGAATAGAATAGAATATGGAATGGAATGGAATAGAATAGAATAGAATAGAATAGAATAGAATATAGAATAGAATACAACAGAATATAGAGTAGAGTAAAGTAGAGTAGAATAGAATAGAATAGAATAGAATATAGAATAGAATACAACAGAATATAGAGTAGAGTAGAATAGAATAGGATAGGATAGGATAGAATAGAATAGAATAGAATAGAATAGAATAGAATAGAATAGAATAGAATAGAATAGAATATAGAGTAGAGTAAAGTAGAGTAGAATAGAATAGAATAGAATAGAATAGAATAGAATAGAATAGAATAGAATAGAATAGAATAGAATAGAATAGAATAGAATAGAATAGAATAGAATAGAATAGAATAGAATAGAATAGAATTCTTTATTGGGATGGTTGGACACAGAAGGAATTTGGAGTGGAATGGGTTGATAATTAGGGCAATGTGAGATAGATCTTCTAATGTTATCTCCTTCCCATGTTTAGAGGATGAAGGAAGTGCCAAGGATCTTGGCCTGAGGTCCTACTTGCAACCAGATGTGATGTATGAAGTAGGCAGCACAGAACCTGAGAAGCCAAGAGGGACATGGGAGTTTGGCAGCCAGGAGGATGTTCATCCTGAGCTCTCTTTTGAGGACCAGTATGTCTCAGACTTCAGTCCCAGTCCTGAGATCCTGCAAGACCCTCTCGCTTTGTATAAATGCAGCTTTACCTCCGATAATGTAGATGAACTATCTGAGAGCTCCAATCTCAGCCCTTCTCCTTGTGGTCCTTCTCCAATCTGCATCCAACTGGAGATTGAACCTCGGAGTCTGCCTGGGGACAGTCTGGACTTCCTTGAAGATCGAAAGTTTTCCTTGGAGTCAGGAAGAAGCCTGGAAAGTCATGGACACAGTTCTCTAGAAATTTCTCAGCGACTCTTAGACTTCCAATCTCTGGAAGATCTTCAAAATTGTCCCAGCATTGATGCCGAGACTTGTCCAGAATTGTCATGGATGGAGAACTTGGAACGATCTCCTGAGGAGGAACCTCCAGCTGAGATAGCTCAGCTTGCTTTGAACAACACTGAGGAAAGACTTTTGGATTCGAGAAAGACAACACAGATGTCCCAAAGGCGAGTTGGTGGCCAACTGGAGAAACGAACACGGAAGCTGGAAACAGATGTACCCCATGGGCTGTTGTCTAGAGGTCCAAGGCAGTCCAGGTCTCTGAGCCCTCAACGGAGGACCCCTCAGAAGAAATCTGGACATCTTGCTTTAAAAGAACTGGATCGAGAGACTCAATCAAACTCTGGAGCAAGGGACATCACACAATACGGCCGAGGACAGCTCAACTACCCCTTACCAGATCTATCCAAAGTGGAACCCCGGGTCAGGTTCCCCAAGGATCGTGAAAGCTACCATCCACCCCAAGGAAAGACTTCTCCAGCTAGTAGGAAGGAGGTTAGGAAGCTGGTGATCTTTAAGTCTCCTGCTGAGATTGTCCGAGAAGTCTTGTTGAGCAGCACTGAAGGATCTCCTCAAAAATGTCCCACGCCGGCCGTCTCCGTTATTCCTGAGGAACTGAAGTCCCCCAGACAGGCGACTGAGCTGGTGCATCAGCTTCAGGTAGCATCTTCCTGTATGCTTTGCAAAAACTCTCTCCCTGAATACAGATAATCTTTTGACTTAAAATGGTCATGAGCCCCTTATTTCAGTGCCGTTGTATCTTTGAATAGTTACTGAACGAACTGTTGTAAGTCAAAAACTATCTCTGTGGGCTCCGGAGAAAATTTCTCCCATTTAGCACACAAGCATTAGGGAGAGAAAACACTTCTGTCTGGCATAGAGGTTTTCAATTTGCAGAAATGTATTTATTATTGCTTTTTGGTACTGCCCATGGGTTCCCAAAAGCAATAATAAATACATAATGAGAAGGAAGTACTCACTGGAGAAGAGCCTAATGCTGGGAAAGATTGAGGGCAATAGAAGAAGGGGACGACAGAGAATGAGGTGGCTGGATGGAGTCACTGAAGCAGGAGGCGTGAGCTTCAATGGACTCCAGAAGATGGTAGAGGACAGGAAGGCCTGGAGGGATGTTGTCCATGGGGTCGCGATGGGTCGGACACGACTTTGCAACTAACAACAAAAACAATTTATTATTATTATTATTATTATTCTTGCTGGTGTGGAGGTGTGATCATTCATGTGGGAGCCCTGGCTTCGAAGCCATCAAAGAAACTAGGCTAATAGCCCAAAGCAAGCTTTTAATGCACACTGCCTAGGTCTCCATCAATCTAAGCGAGCCAAGAGGTCACAACCTGCACACATTATGCAGATTTGTCCCTCTTTGTGTCGTCGTCCCCCCCCCTTTGTGTGTACATGCTTCAAGGTTAAAGCACCCTTCGTAGCCATTCAGTCCTTGGCTTCTAGCATTCTGATTCATCCATAGGCGCAAACTCCTACTTTTCATACAGAGGCTCCATCTGGAATTACCGTGGAGTTGCAAATGAACTCCAGAGAGTATTATTTTCTGCGATTTGAATCCCTGGAAACTTGTCCTTTTTTAAAAAAAAAAAGAAAAGAAAAGAAAAGGTACAATCGGAGCATCTCCAACGATGGGATTCTAGGGTTATGTTTTGATGGATGTGAATGTGTTTTTAGCGGTGCTTCTCTTTGCCGTTGTATTAGAATTGAATCCATTGGTAAGACTAGCTTGTTGCCTTCAAACAACACCGTTCATCATATCTGTAATAGCTGCCTTTTATATATATATATATATAACATACTAAGTTTACTGTACGCAAAACTCTTCCTATGCCAGAAGGGGCCTCTAAATGAAATATCACGTTCTCTTCATCATTTTTTAGGAAGACTATCACAAACTTCTAACCAAGTACGCCGAAGCTGAGAACACCATCGACCGATTGCGGCTGAGTGCCAAGGTATAAGATGATAAGGAATGGTCCTATTATCAAAGTCCTTTCTGTAACTTTTGCCCCGGATCCTTTGTGGGTGCCAGATACTCCAAATGGAACACCTTATGACATAGTACCTGCTTGGGGAAGAGGTAGTAGCTGACGGTAGAGCTGAGGTTTTGTACGTAGGACTTCATGGTGCCTGCTGCTTGGAGAAGACCATGCTGATTCCATATGGCTCCGACAGAAGGATATTAGAGGATATAAGTTGCATGATCAGAGTTGGACCATCCAGAAAGTTTAGTACCTTCCCATTCATCTCTGATCAACAATTATCATGTCCTGGATCTATCAGGATCATAGTGGCTGGGGACAAGTGGAAATGTGGCTTTTCCAAGTTTAAAGCCATGAATTCTGGCTTTCTATCTTAGCTCTGGGTTTTTATTTCAGCTGGAGCGAGAAAATTCTGGGTTTATCTCTCAGCTGGATTGCGGGTCTCAGGATCCGCAACCCAGCTTGGTCCTCAAAGTTCCTAGTTCCCAGGTTAGATTACTCGGAATCAATTTGCCCCATCTCTCATCCTATTCAACATCACAAAATTCTCCAGAAGATCACAAAACCATTACTTCCGATTCATTTGTGTGTGTTTTTTTTTTTTAAATCTCAGATTTACTTCATTTCAGAGGTAGAATTCAGGTTAGGCTGGATCCACGGTTGTTGTTGCCACTTTTAGAAGATAATTGTGAGTCACAAATCCTTGCTGTTAGAAACCCCTCCAAGGGTCTGCAAATAAAATCAGATCTGGCTAGCTTTAAAGGCTGTCTTCAGCTCTACAGTTCTGCAAACACGTCGTGAGGAAGTCTTTAGTTCCGAGGGCGGTTGAGAAAGAAGAAAAGAGAATTGTGCTTTTCAAGGGGGGAAGCAAGCGCCGCTGTTTCTTTATTAAAATGACTCAGGCAGTTTCGTCTTGAACAGGAAGTGCAAAGAGGAGGAGGAGGGGGAGAATTTGAGAACATTGCCCCGAAGAACACATTCGCAACTGGCTGTCCTCTGCTCGTCAACTTCCTGCGTCTCAGAATTGTGACAGATTCTTTCCCCTTCCTGTGGGTCCCAGCAGCATTTTCTGAAAACCACAGCACAGCAGCCCCAAAACGGAAGCACAGCAACAGTCGTGACACTAAAAGAAAAGTCTTAGGATACAGGGGCTCCTGCTTGAGCAGGGGGCTGGACTAGAGGACCTTCAAGTTCCCTTCCAGCTTCTGATTTTTGTAGGAAAAGCCCAAACGGAGTACTGTGTCACTCAACACCCCAAATGCCAGTGTCCTGAGGCCAAACCGAGTCGCCATCTCAGTTTTGTGCCTCCAGAATCTCAGAGGTAGACGTTAGAAGGTCAGGTTTGCGAGAATACCGTGTGGTGTAGTTGCTTTGTTACTTAGCTTGAGCAGGGGGTTGGACTAGAAGACCTCCAAGGTCCCTTCCCACTCTGTTCTTCCTTGAATCAGTCAGATCCTGTAGAATGATCTAAGATTCTAGGTGACCATTTTTGTCACTATGAATGGAAGTAGTGATTGACTTAACAAAGGTGGCAAGAAAATCTGTAAAACTCACTGGACCAATTTCTCACTTAGCATCGTAAAGGTTGGGCTCAGAGGTTGTCCTAATTTAAGGATCGCTTGTCCCCGATGTTATTTATGTATAAAAGAGTCTTTGCTCGTCTTTTGGCTGCTTTTTATAATGGATTTCTTTTCCCTTTAAAAAAAAAAAGAGAGAGAGAGAGAGAAGCACTAGCTTTACAGCTCTTCCTTGGCCCAATCATCCTTCTATAAATTCTTCTCCTGTTCCCCATCTTTTGCTGGAAAAAAAAAATCTCCACCAAGTTTTCCCTGTTGGTTGGGGGGGAAAGGCCCTGTCCACCATGATGCTCCTACACAGTCACAATGCTTAGTTTGTGGGGACAACTCAGCAACGGAAAGGAGGGCTGGCTGTGGCAACTGGAGCCTCAGCTTAAAGAGATGTGGCGCAGTTTCAAAAATCCAGCTCTAGCTGGTGGAACATAAGCAAGGAGAGACGGTTTAGAATTCGCCTCCGCCTCGTGATATTCAGAGGACGATGGCAATCGGGGACCAGAGAAAGCGGGTAAAGATGGCAGCCATTTTATAAAATCCAGGCTTCCGGCTTGAAATGGAATTGAAACATGAATTAAAGGAGCAAAGAGAAGGTCCGTATTTTCAGCCCTGGAGCGAACGGAGATGGAGATAAACCCAGCAGAATCGTTCTGATGTTGGCCCTGCCTGGAATAAGAGAATAACAAGAGCTGGAAGGGACCTTGAAGTCTCCTAATTTAACCCCCTGCTCAAGCAGGAAACCCCATCCATTAAAAACCTTAAATTTCATATCTGCTTCTTGGCAAGACTCTATATCAATCAGAAATAATAGTTCTGGAAGGGACCTTGGAGGTCTTCTAGTCCACCCCCCTGCTCAAGCAGGAGACTCTATACCAGTGGTTCTCAACCTGTGGGTCGGGACCCCATTTGGGGTCGAACGACCATTTCACGGGGGTCGCCAAACAACGCAGTCCGCCATTTTTTCCCCCTTTTCCTTAGCTGTGCTACTCCCTTTTATTCGATTGGCTTTTGAAAGCCAATAGAATAGACTCTCTTGAATAGAGTCTAATTCTATTGGCTCTCAAAAGCCAATAGGAATTGTCCAGGCTGTCTCTGCCCTGCTGAGCCCACCAAAAGTCCCATTCTGCAAATGGTCCTGAACCAGTTGAGTAGTCCTTGACTTGCGACCGATTGAGTAGTCCTCGACTTACGACCCGTTGGGGGTCGTGGCATTCAAAAGGTTGAGAACCACTGCTCTATACCATTTCAGACCAATGGTTGTCCAATCTCTTCTTTAAAAACCTCCAGTGTTGGAGAACCCACAAATTCTGGAGGTTAAATTGTTCCACTGGTTAATTGTTCTCACTGTCGTGAAATTTCTCCCTAGTTTCTCCTTGGTTATTTTCCACCCATTGCTTCTTGGGTTGCCTTCAGCTGCTTTGGAGAATAGGTTGACTGGAGAACGTCTTGAGTATTCTTAACCAGACGAATATAATCTATTGACACAGATCTACTCTGCGAATCTCCAGGCTGTGAAAAAACCCGAAGGTTATGTTTCATGACCACTCTCATTTTAAGTATAGAAGAAGGCAAGTGCAAACATGGCTTTTTCCTGAATTTACTGCTGCGTTGCTAGTCTTGGCGAGTCGAGAAACTGGATTATTTATTTCCAAAGTCTTCCAGGGATGGTTGAGATCAATTTATTTTAAACCATCCCAGGTAGATATCTTGCCGGGTTTGGATGAGATACCTCTGCATTGCCTGCTTCTGTTTGGAGATTCTGGTGAGATGGGATGTTTCTTCTCATTGCTTCTGCCTTTCAGGTCCGCCTCTACAGCGACCCTCCGAAGCCCAGCCAGGCGGCCCCTGAAATGGGGAGAATATCAGAGGGGTCCAAAGTTGTAACCTTCAGCATCCCTCAAATCAGGTCTGCTGAGATCACAAGGCGGCCCAGCCAAGCGTCCATGAGTGGTGAAGGTAGGTCTGAGGCATCTGCATCTTTTCCTCCTTGGTTCTTGGGATTGCCAGTAAAGGCAACCACTGTAAACTGGGCGAGTCATTCATTGGCTGGTTCTCCAATGGTCAATACCAGTCGTAACTAGATACGGTATGACTGGGAAGTCCCAGGGCTGTAGACTAGACTGTCAAGCAGAACAGGCTCCCTCAAAGACACCGGAGCAAGCCATTTCTCTCTATAACTACAAAGAATGCTCCCAGCTCCACTGAGCTAGTAGTATATAAATAGGGAGGAAAACCCACTTCCTTCTAGCACTGATGATGTTACCTAGTTGGGTTATGCAATGTCTGCAAGAAAGCCACTACGCTCTGAGAGCACCAAGGACCCTACACCATCCTCCTCCTCCTCCTCCTCCTCCTCCTCCTCCTCCTCCTCCTCCTCCTCCTCTTCTTCTTCTTCTTCTTCTTCTTCTTCTTCTTCTTCTTCTTCTTCTTCTTCTTCTTCTTCTTCTTCTTCTTCTTCTCCTCCTCCTCCTCCTCCTCCTCCTCCACAAAGCCCACTCCCTTCTAGCACTGATGATGTTACCTAGTTGAGTCATGAAACAGTCTGCAAGAAAACAACCAAACTCAGAGTGCACCAAGGTCCCCACAGTCGTCGTCCTCTTCCTCCTCCTCCTCCTCCTCTTTGGCTCCTTCTCTTCTCCTTCACAAGTCCACTACTTTCCAGTACTGATGATGTTAACTAGTTCAGTATTGAAACATCTGCAAGAAAGCCACCAAGAACCCTACACTCCTCCTCCTCCTCCTCCTCTGCCTCTTTCCCCACTTCTGCTCTCTTCCACAAAGTCCACTCTCTTCTAGCTCTGATAATGTTACCTAGCTGGGTCGTGAAACATCTGCAAGAAAGCCACCAAGTTCAGAGAGCTCCAAGGGCCCCACTTTCCTCTATTGTTGCCAACAGATAAAGGATCACATCCTGAAGGTATTACGCTCGGTGAAATGAGCTGAACTTCAAGCAGGATTTATCTGGGTTTTTTTTTTTTTTGAATTGCAGGCTTTCCCAGGCAGCAAGTACAACACTCATCCTTGAACAATTCCACAGTCATCAGTTCTTCTGAAGCAGATCATCCTATCTCCAGCAAAACGCCTTTCTTGGGTGATCATCTCACACGATTGTTAGCTGCCCAAACAAGTAAATTTCAGATCCAGGTAAGTTTTTTTTTTTTTACTTCTAATAATGGAGAATATGTGTAGCCCAGGATTGAACTGTGGGGTCCTTGATGCTCTCTGAGCTTGATTGTTTTCTTGTTTCATTACCCAGCTGAGTAACATCATCAGTGCCAGAAAAAGAGGGGAGTATTTGTTGTGCATATTTTGACATTAAGTAGATTAAATTCATTTACTGGATTTTGGGTTGCAGTTGTTTTTGGCCTTGTGCACACTCGTTCTTGCCCTTCGTTTAATCATTGTTTAATCTTGCCCCACATCTTGAAACTGAGATAGGAGGACCACCGTTCTACATGCCTTATTAATGAGATATGATTGATTCACCCCTCTCCTGTTTTTTTAGATGGAATTCTTGGAGGATTTAATTCAAACTGATAGGCTGGAAGCCATGGACCAGCTGAAGGTACGCCATTTTTGCTCCCCCCGTTAAGTGACCAAAGATAGTCCTTGATTTACAGCAGCTTGTCTAGTGACCACTGAAAGTGACAAGAGCCCTGGAAAACGGGATTTAGAACCGTTTTTCACACTTATGACCCTTTCAGCGTCCATAGAGTCATGTGATCCAAATTCAGACGCTTGGCAACTGATTCATCTTTGTGACAGTTGCAGCATCCTGGGGTCAGGATGACCAGCAAAGGCCACGGGGATGCCAGATTCACTTCACAACCCTGACACTAACTTAACAACCGCACTCAAACAATTCCCTCAACAATTGTGGTGAGAAAAGTCACAACCTGGGCAAAACTTGCTTAACCAATGTCTCGCTTACCAAACAGAAGGTTTGGGCCCAGCCTTGTTTCTGCACAAAATATTTTAGTAAGAGGTTGGACTGCAAGACCTCCAAGATCCTTTCCAACACTGTTGTGTTGTTGTTGTTGTTAAGTCCTGATTTTTCCAGTCCAGTACTGAGACCCATGACCCCTGCCACCGTCATAAATACAAGTCGGTTGCCAAACGCCTGGATTTGGATCGTGGGGATGCCACAACAGCCCTAAGTGTAAAAAAACGGTCCTAAGTCTTTTTTTTTGTAACTTCAAACAGTCGCTAAATGAACCGCTGTAAGTCGAGGCGTACCTGCGCTTATTCCACTTCCAATTTTCCCATCCTGGTAGGGGTTTACAAGGCTGAAGGAAGCACAGGAAGCCTTGGAGCAAGCTTATCTGCAGGCTCGGAATAAGTACCAGGAGTTGAATCCGAATGGAGCGATGGAGTCCTTAGGAGAATTTGATCCCAGCCGGTACGTAGACATCCCCACCCAGCGAAAACACACGTTCAAAAATCCACCTGGGTTTCCTCATCATCCCATTCAGGTCTCCAGAACTGATTCAGTGGGTCAGAAACAGTGGTCCTTTTTTTGCCCATGGGGCAATTGGGTTTTAATAGAAATAGCCCTTAGGCTTATATACCGCTTCACGGTGCTTTATAGCCCTCTCTAAGTGGTTTACAGGGTCAGCCTCTTGCCCCCCCCCCAACAATCTGGGTCCTCATTTTACCAACCTCAGAAGGATGGAAGGCTGAGTCAACCTTGAGCCGGTCAGAATCGAACTGCTGGCAGTTGGCAGAGTTAACCTGCAATGCTGCATTCTAAGCACTGCGACACCATGGCAGATGATAGATAGATAGATAGATAGATAGATAGATAGATAGATAGATAGATAGATAGATAGATAGATAGATAGATAGATAATGGATGGATAGAAGATAGATAGATAGATAGATAGATAGATAGATAGATAGATAGATAGATAGATAGATAGATAGATAGATAGATAGATAATGGATGGATAGACGATAGATAGATAGATAGATAGATAGATAGATAGATAGATAGATAGATAGATAGATAGATAGATAGATAGCATGCCAGGGAACCGGTCCCTGCAAATAAGAGAAGCCCATCTGAGGGACATGGGCAGCATACAAAACCATGCTCCCTGCAGTCCATGGAAAAAACAAAGATCCAATCCCTGGTCCCCCCAAAGTTTGGGGGCCACTGAACTAAAGGACTTCTGGCTACGGCTTAATGTTTTTCAGAGCAGTGGAAGGTAACATTTTCCATCTGGGCCTGCGTCTGGAAGGCTTGAAAGAGAGAATGGAGCAGCCTGCGTGGAACCAACGGATCGGACCAGAGAGTTCTCCACGGAGGGCCCCATCACATCCAGGCTTCTCAGTCCAGCTTTCTGAGGAACAATTGGGAACCCCGACGCCTTCCGTCCATGCCCCAGTCCCAGCTGTCTGCATACCCTATCCTGAGGTGAAATTATGAATATTTAGAAGGTTTTTCTGAGGGAGTGAGGGAAGTAGCATGTCCAGGGAAGGTTCCATGTAGGCCCACCTGAGTTTTTTCATCTGCTCTGCAGGCCTCCACCCCAAAGAAAAACATCACTCAAGTCCAGCTGGAGGGGGACTTGAGTTCCATCAGTGATGGGGCTGGTGAAGAAGAAGAAGATGAAGAAGGTGGGGATTTCCTGGAGCTCCCCCAACCTTGCAAGCGCCAAGAGGAGGAGGAGGACCTGGATCATCTTCTGGACCAGTAAGGCTGTCCTTCAACTTCATATCCACCCGTGGAAAAAAAAAGAAGGTGAAAAAGGTTGGGGATGAGAAAGAATCCATGATGGATTCCTCTAAGCTTCATGCACTTTCAGCCCTGGGTTCATTCATTCAGACTTGGCACCATCCTATCTCTGTGTTCCCACCTGATCTTGAGGTCATCAAAGCTTCATGGAAGGATGAAAGAGAAGACTCTTTCCACTCTCCTGGGTACTGTTAAGGGTAAATCAGATGGGAGAAGTTGAAATCAGTGTAGGGAAAAACCTTATTTGATTCTCCAAATAAGCTGAGCTTAATTTCCCATTTTCTATTCTAAGGTGCAGCAGCTTCAGATCTTTGCCAGAGGTTCTGAGTCACAAACACAATGCAGAAGAACTGGGCCGTGAAGCCACCGCAGCTGCTGGGACAAAGAATGGGTCCCCGCAGAAGTCCTCTGAGGCTAATAAAACTCCCCCTGCCTCCAAGTAAGTCCATGAGAAAGCAATTCGAGCTAATTCATTTTCTTGGAAGACCTAAGATGCCACCTCCAGCCTTAACATGACCGAGAAAAGCTTCTCTTTTGGACCTCCTACTGCTCTGAAGTTCATAAGATGCAGAACAACAGAATAGAATAACAGAATAATAGAGTTGGAAGGGACCTTGGAGGTCATCTAATCCAACCTCCTGTTCAGGCAGGAAACCCTACACCATTTCGGACAAATGGCTGTCCAGTCTCTTCTTAAAAACTTCCAGTGTTGGAGCATCCACCGCTTCTGGAGGCAGGTTGTTCCACTGGTTAATTGTACTAACTGTCAGGAAGTTTCTCCTTTGTTCTAGGTTGCTTCTCTCCTTGGTTAGTTTCCATCCGTTGCTTCTTGTCCTGCCTTCAGGTGCTTTGGAGAATAGCTTGACTCCCTCTTCTTTGGAGCAGCCTCTTAGATGTTGGAAGACTTCTATCATATCACCCCTAGTCCTTCTTTTCACCCCCTCTTCTTTGTGGCAGCCCCCTTAGGTATTGGAGGACTGCTATCATGTCACCCCTAGTCCTTTTCATTAAACTAGACCTACCCAATTCCTGCAACCGTTCTTCCTATATTCAAGTTCAAGTTCCCAGTTTAAACCATGCACGCAAATATATGAGAAAATTGAAGAAACACACCTACACAGAGGAAAGCGCAAACATTTATATTTTAGCATGTGTGGGACATAAAGTTGAAAGGAAAAAAAAACCAGATTGATGGACCCTCCTTGAACAGCGGGATCTAACCGAGGGGACGGATCAAAACCGAAGCTTTAGACTCTGATGGACAGCCATGCTTTCAACTTGAAAAATTAACATTCCAATCCTGGCCTCGTATATTTGGCCACATTATTTTTTTTTTGCAAAAGCAGCAGCTCCTCTTTTTTTTGTTGTTGTTGTTGTTTTGTTTTCTTTCTGGTGCTTTGGGCATTCCAGGATGTGACTAAAATTAGAAACAGGGCTTGTTGGCTCTTTGAGCTGCATCATCTGAAGCTGAGGAACAAAGAACGTCTTTGCTTTTTCTTGTTTTCTTTCCAAGACTGGGTCAGAAGCAGCTTTAGCCTCTTTTGAAAAAGCATCTTTGGGACATAAACATCTCTCTCTCTCTCTCTCTCTTTCTCCCATCTCTCTCTTTCTCTTTGTCTCTCTGTCTCTTTGTCTCTCTTCTCTCTCTCTCTCCCTTTCTCTCTGTCTCTGTTGTTGTCTCTCTCTCTGTCTCTTTCTTTCTCTTTCTCCTGTCTCTCTCTCTCTCTCTCTCTCTCTCTCTCTCTCTCTCTCTCTCTCTCTCTCTCATTTTCTCTCTCTCATCCCCTTCCCGCCGCCCCCTCGCCCCTCTCCCTCCCTGCCTTATAAATGGATTACCTTGGCAAGGAAGGGAGGCAGAGGAAGAGAATGCAGAAGGGGAGGGAGAACAGACAGGAATTTGACAAGAAGGAAGTCAAAACTCAGCGGGGAAAACTTAAGAGGTGGGAACAATAGCTGAGAATCAACGTCCTTTTTTTTTTTTTTTAAGCCGTGGGATTTGGCTGGAAGAGAGTGTGTTTGGAGGCCATCGTGCCCCACTTTTCAAGTTTTCAGCTCTTGCATGTAAAACCTGGCACTGCCTCCAGGCTGCCACAAAGATTTCTCTGTGGTTTTAACACTTCAGCATCACTCTGATTTCCTACACAGGAGGTAAGGACGGATGGAGGTTCTGAGTGAAGGGGAAGGGTTGGTTTCTAAGAAAAGAGGTAAGGAGGATTTCAATCCGAATAGAGCTGGAAGGGGCCTTGGAGGTCTTCTAGTCCAATCTCCTGCTTGAGCAGGAGACCCTCTATCATTTCATACAGGCTCTTCTTGAAAACCTCCAGTGATGGAGCACCCACAGCTTCTGGAGGCAAGCAGTTCCATTGGTCAATTGTTCTCACTGTCAGATAATTTCTGTTTAGTTCTAGGTTGCTTCTCTCCTTGATAGGTTTTCATCTGCTGCTTCTTGTCCTGCCTTCAGGTGCTCTGGAGAGTAGGCTGAGCCCCTCTTCTTTGTGGCAGCCCCTCAGATATTGGAACACTGCTATCATGTCTTCTTCTCACCGGACTAGCCATACCCAATTCCTGCGACTGTTCTTCGTATGTTCTGGTCTCTAGGCCCTTGTGAATTAGGTCTAAGTTGCACAGAACCACTTAGCTAGGAGATGTTTGCTTCCCAAGGCACACACTGGTTGTAGGAGGATTTGTCTGCATTTTACAAACGTACATTTGGAGTTTGTGTTGGCTTCTGGATACTAATGGTCCTAGCCTGAGCAGGGGGTTGGACTAGAAGACCTCCAAGGTCCCTTCCAACTCTGCCATTCTGTTATTCTTCAGCTTGCATGTCAGATTGTCAATTGCCACCTTGATTAGCTTCTTGGAAACATCCGCATGTCCCTTACATATAGGGACTTGTTCACAAACTTTGCTTTTTGTGACAGGGAACTTCACGAGAAGAACTCCAGAAAGGTCCAGCAGCCAACCCGCCAGAGCAGACGTTTGTCTTCCATCCAAGCTGAAGCAGCTCTTCGTAAACCTGCAGAGATCAACAGTCCCACCGTTGCTGTCCCCAAGACGTTCTCCAGAAAACAGCAGGCAGAGTTTTCACCTCAAAGCAGCATGGCGAGTGTGAGGGGAAGCCTAGCATCAGAACCTGCAGCTCCACATTTACCCCGGAAGGCGAACACAACGTTGTGTGAGGTACGTTTGTGATGGTAGACATGGGGTGGGGGGGGGGAGAATCCCATTGACTTCCTTGGGAAGATGAAGGAAGGAAATATAATCTCAAATATCTCCAGAACAGAATTTTGGAGACCAGGATAGAAAGAAAACTTTTGTTTCCCCATTTCTGGGGTCTTTCAGGTATTGGAGATAGTTAGAAACCTCACCAGGTAAGTCCACTGGACATGGTTGAGTCCATTTTGGATGGAGCTATGGCTTTTTCTTAAAGGCCTTTCACCCAGATCTTTAACATTCAGGGAAGGAAGGTAAATCCAAATGAAGGAGATACGTCTATGACCAAGCCTGGTGGCCTTCAGGAGAAGTGTAGATGTCTAGATTTGGCCAGTAGCTCCATAAGTCACTCTCTGTCCTTGTTGCAGGATCTGCGCATTGTGTCTCCAGAGACAGACAGCGGTTTTGTGGGATCAGAAACCAGCAGGGCATCCCCTTTGGCACAGTTGCCCAAGCGCCAGTTGGCAAAGATGAGGTACAGCATGTTAGCTATTGTCCTTCTCCTTTATGTACCACTTTTTCAGTCCTACAACACTCTCTCTTCCTTCCTGTTCATTCTTCTTCTTCTTCTGCAGCCTTCTTCCCTTCTATTTTCAAATTTCACTCACTTTTAATACTCCCCTTTTTCTCTTTCCTTCCAGCCTGTTAATTCTGCCCTCCGCGGAAGGGCAGTCCACAGTTCAGAAAGGAAGCACATGTAGCGGAACAGAAAACAAATGTAATGCACTTTACCAATTTTACCTACCTGGGTTTTTTGGTTCCAGGTCCTACAGCACCCCAGGACTATCATCTACGATTGATGAGCCTCCCTGCTCACCATCCTCAAAGAAAGCACCAGGTGCAGTGAAGCAGTTGGGATCCAACCAATCACTTGGGCAAGTGAAGCCCGAGGCTGGGAGAAGCAGACGTACCTTGGTGAAAAGAAGCCCCCTCCAGAAGACCTCTCCTTGCAGGTGGACAAATGAGAGGGAGCCCGAAGACAATGAGAACTGTGAGTTGAACTCCACATGTGGATGGGGTACCACCTCCATCATGCCCAGCTACCCAAGGTTCGCCTGTTTGCTTAGGAAGCTTTGACTCAACTATGGAGGCCAGCATCTCAATGTTTCTGAACAGTATCAAGCTGTCATCTATAAGTATACATCACAACTCACAAGTCCCAGATCCTGGAGATCAGATCTTAAGGCGTAGGATCAACACTGTTCAAAAATATATCCCAGGTCACCAAGACCATGTTAATGAAGTGATTAACGAAAAAATGTTTAGTGAAAAGAAGGGGTGACATGATAGCAGTGTTCCAATATTTGAGGGGCTGCCACAATTTATCTAAAGGGCTGTTACAAAGAAGAGGGGGGGGGTCAATCTATTTTCCAAAGTACCTGTAGGCAGGACAAGAAGCAATGGATGGAAACTCATCAAGGAGAGAACCAGCCTAGAACTAAGGAGAAGTGAGAACAATTAATCAGTGGAACAACTTGCCTCCAGAAGTTGTGGGTGCTTCAACACTGGAGGTTTTGAAGAAGAGACTGGACAACCATGAACAACTTCTCCTTCTCCTCTTCCTCCTCCTCCTCCTCCTTCTCCTTCTCCTCCTCCTCCTCCTCCTCCTCCTCCTTCTTCTTCTTCTCCTTCTTCTTCTTCTTCTTCTCCTCCTCCTCCTCCTCCTCCTTTCTTTTCTCCCCCTTCCCCTGTTTACAGTAGAACTAGGTCAAGATTTTTCTGACTGAAATGTTCTAGGGTCTCCTGCTTCAGCAGGGGGTTTGACTAAAAGATCTCCAAGGTCCCTTTCAGCTCTATTCTGATTGATTGATTGATTGATTGATTGATTGATTGAAATGGTCTAGGGTCTCTTGCTTGAGCAGGGGGTTGAGCTAGAAGACCTCCAAAGTCCCTCCTCACCTTATTATTCTGTTAAAAATAATGTGCTAGTTTCCCCCCACCCCATAAGTTTAATTTTTCTGTGATTGGGATTGGAGCTAAAGTGGAAAGTGGAAAGAAAGTACAAGAGATAAATTCAGCCTCCTCCTTTTTTTTTAAGCATGGACCCATCCCACGGGACTTCTAGCCAGTGGTCTCCATACCGTATTTAAGAAAAACAGATCTTGATGTATCTATTTTGAAGGCTTACCAGAGTTCAGTCCTTAAGGCAAACTCGTGATAGCTTGTTCTCTCTCTTGCTTGTCAGCTCACCCTGACTTCGAGACAGACACCGAGACCCACGGTGGTACCAGTCTGGATGGTAGCCCCCCTCCTCGTGGGAGAGTTTCTCCCAGTCCCTCCCCAATTTCTCCGAACCTGGCCCAGGCTCACCACAAGAACGTCCTTCACACACGCTTGGAGCGAGAGTAAGTCGAAACAATTTTTTTACCTGTAATTTTTCACACACGCACCCCATCCCTCCAGCACGGGAAGAGGGAGAGAAGCACGTAAAACTCGTGTCCGCCCTTTTTTGCCTTGGATAAAATTGGTACGATTTCAACACACGCTTAGTAGCAGTTGTCAAAGTCAACCTGGTGTTCCCGTGTTTGTTTCATTCCTCCGCCAGCGAAGCCATTGAAGCTCTGCAATATGAAGTCTCTCGGTTGCGACGAAGTCTAGAAGAGTCTCTCCATCGGCAGTCTTCTTCTCCCCACCCATCTATCATCCAGGACCTGGTTCACCTTTATCCAAGCATCCCTCCAACAGGGTAAGGGATGAACCAAGCTCTTGTTGAACGTGTAAGAGATTCTGGGCAAACGTTCCTCTAGTGAGCCTCTTCATAACTACATGTCTTTGAAGATGCTCCGTCATCCAGGTCAGGGTTGTCCCAACGATGCTTTTTCAAAAGAAAACTGGACTTTGTTCCTTGAAGCCAAAAAGGCCAACACAGTGCTAGGCTGCATTAACAGAGGGATAGAATCAAGATCACGTGAAGTATTAATACCACTCTACAATGCCTTGGTAAGGCCACACTTGGAATAATGTATCCAGTTTTGGTCACCACGATGTAAAAAAGATGTTGAGACTCTAGAAAGAGTACAGAGAAGAGCAACAAAGATGATTAGGGGACTGGAGGCTAAAACATAAAAGGAACGGTTGCTAGAATTGGGTGTCTAGTTTAACAAAGAGAAGGACAAGGGGGGGACATGATAGCAGTATTCCAATATCTCAGGGGCTGCCATAAAGAAGAGGGAGTCAAGCTATTTTCCAAAGCACCTGAAGGCAGGACAAGAAGCAACGGGTGGAAACTAACCAAGGAGAGAAGCAACCTAGAACGAAGGAGAAACTTCCTGACAGTGAGAACAATTAATCAGTGGAACCACCTGCCTCCAAAAGCAGTAAATGCTCCAACACTGGAAGTTTTTAAGAAGAGACTGGACAGCCATTTGTCCAAAATGGTGTAGGGTTTCCTGCCTGAGCAGGGGGTTGGACTAGATGACCTCCAAGGTCCCTTCCAACTTTACTATTATTACTATTATTATTATTATTATTATTATAAGTTTCTCCTTAATTCATCAAATTAATTTAGCAAACCATAGTAGCCTTGTCTCCAGGTGAATGCTAAACCATACAGGCTTGTTCGTGATACACCTTGTCTGTGTTCACACAAACAAACAAAAAATTAGAATAAATCACATCTGAGTCAAACGAATCCAGACAGATTTTAGGAATCCAGAGGGGACAGTATCAGGGAGAATGAATGAAAGGGGGGCAAGTTTCTTGTTTTGTGTTCGGCTATAGTCTTGCCTTGGTATAACATGCTGTCTTATTCCACAGAACCTCAAGGAAAAGCGTGGTGGAATACGATGGGTCATTTCTGGCGACTGAACCAAAACGGAGGAGTCAGAAGCCACCGTTGGCCCCACATGAATCCGAATTGGACTTCAGTAGGTGGCAAAGGTTTTAAATGTTGTTGGCTTAGTCTAGAATTTAGAAACGTGGTGTCTGGGAGAGTCTCTGGATTTCAATTGGCAGCCACGCCGGTCAATCTGGCCAGTGGCAAAATATTGTCCGAAGCATCTGAAGGACCCTGAGATTAATTTAGTTAGGTAGAGAGCCCTATTTTAGGCAAAAAGAATGATCCTCTCTAAATAGGGGGTGCTGTCTGTTTAAAATATTTTGCTTTCTGAGCTTGGTTGTTTCCTTGCAAGTGTTTCATTACCCAAACTAGGTGACATCATCAGTGTTTAGAAGGGAATGGGGCTTGCAGGGAGGAGGAGGAGGAGAAGGAGAATGAATGTGGGATCCTTGGTGCTCTCTGAGCTTGCTGGTTTTCTTTCAGGAGTTTCATTACCAAACTAGGTAATGTCATCAGTGCTAGAAGGGAGTTGGGTTTGCAAGGAGGAGGAGGAGGAGGAGGAGGAGGAGGAGGAATGTGGGGTCCTTGGTGCTCTCTAATCTCAGTTGCTTTCTTGCAGACATTTCATTACCCAAACTAGGTAACATCATCAGTGCTAAAAGGGAGTTAGGTTTGCAGGGAGGAGCAGGAGGAAGAGGAGCAGGAGGAGGAGCAGGAGGAGGAGCAGGAGGAGGAGGAGGAGCAGGAGGAGAATTGTGGGGTCCTTAGTGCTCTCTGAACTTGGTTGTTTTCTTGAAGACATTTCATTACCCAACTAGGTAACATCATCAGTGATAGAAGGGAATGGGGCTTGCAGGGAGGAGGAGGAGGAGGAGGAGGAGGAGGAGGAGGAGGAGGACAACTGTGGGTTCCTTGGTGCTCTCTGACCCCAGTTGCTTTCTTGCAGACATTTCATACCCAACTAGGTAACATCATCAGTGCTAGTCATATTAAATACTTTGATTAGATTGAGCCCCTTGTCAAACCTGGCAATTGCATGCTCTTCTGCAATTCAGTTAATGCTCCCCAGTGTTGTTTGAACCCCTGAGATAATGTCAGACTTTACGTACCAAATTAATCTGAGGACTCTCTTTTCCTGCTTTGTTCCTAGCTCCTTCCGAGTCAGATGACGCAACGTCAAAGTTGCAGAATGGAAGACCCCAGCCAGCTTCCAGGATAAGACCTTCCAAACAACGCACTGTCTGGGGACCTTACACAGGTAAGAGCACCATCTAAACCACCGTAGGGTAAACCAACATACACCCATGGGAGTTTCATTACCCAAACTAGGTAACATCATCAGTGCTAGAAGGGAGTTAGGTTTGCAAGGAGGAGGGGCAAAATCAATAAGCAAAATCCCTTCTGTTAGTCCCTTAAAAGTTTGCATTTACTCGCTGGAAGGATGCAAATTTTGGAACTTTCCACCCCTAAGATTCAATGTTCCACATTAGTCTATCCAGGGGTAGGCAACCTTGGTTCTTTTATGACTCGTGGACTTCAACTCCCAGAATTCCTGAGCCAGCCATGCTGAAGAGAAATGGAGAGTTTCCATGCTGAGCTATGCTGGCTCAGGAATTCTGGGAGTTGAAGTCCACGAGTCATAAAAGAGCCAAGGTTGCTTATCCCTGGTCTAGTCTAAGAAAAGAAGCACTAGGGGCAACAGGATAGCAGTCTTCTAATAGTTGAGGGGCTGTTGCAGAGAAGAGGGAGTCAAGCTATTCTCCAAAGCACCCAAAGGCAGGACAAGAAGCAACGGATAGAAACTAAGCAAGGAGAGAAGTAACCTAGAACTAAGGAGAAACTTCCTGACAGTGAGAACAATTAACCAGTGGAACAACCTGCCTCCAGAAGCGGTGAATGCTCCAACACTGGAAGAGACTGGACAGCCATTTGTCTGAAACGGTATAGGGCTTCCTGCCTGAGCAGGGGGTTGGACTAGATGACCTCCAAGGTCCCTTCCAACTTTATTATTATTATTATTACCTCCACAGTCCCTTTCAGGTCTATTCTGATTGATTGATTGATTGATTGATTGATTGATTGATTGATTGAACCAGTAGAACGGATTGCCTCCAGAAGTTGTGGATGCTCCATCTCTGGAGGTTTTTAAGAAGAGATTGGACAGTTAGTTGTCTGAAATGATATAGGGCTTCCTGCCTGAACAGGGGGCTGGACTAGAAGACCTCCAAGGTCCCTTCCAACTCTGTCTTTCTGTATTCTATAATTTTATCGGCACCTGCTGGATTCTTTCTGTTTGCTTTCCTAGGGACACAGTATCCCATTTCCACTCTGGAGTCTCAAGAGCCAAAGAGACTTGAAAACTCTTCTGTTGATCCTCAGAATGCCCAGTTACATCACGGAGAAGACTCTGCAGTTCCCTTGCAAGGCAAGGAAACCAAAGGTAACCATTGATGTGCATTGCCTCTGTGTGATACAAGTAGTCCTCGACTTACGATTGTTTGTTTAGTGGCATCAGGCATCAGTTTTTTGCAAACGGCAGCGTCCATCGTCGGATGCATTAAAAAAAAAAACACATTCGAATAAAAATTGTTAGCTGGGAAAGGTGTTTCCCAGGCTACTTCCCGACATTCTTCTGCCAGAGACTAACGCAGATCTCCTCCGGTGATACATTCCTTGGTGGCATCACACATTCAGGAGTGTGACAGGTGTGATCCCCTTTTGCGACCGTCTGACAAGCAAAGTCAATGGGGGGAAAATCTGGGTTCATTTAACAACCGTGTGGCTAATTTGACAGCCGCAGTGTTTCACGTAACCACTCTGGCAAGTGAGCTCGTAAAACGGGGCAGAACCCGCTTAGCAGGCATCCCGCTTAGACATGGGAAAAGATAAAAATGACAAATACCACGATGGATCTCGACAACGGAAGCGTTTGTGCACGCAAATTTAATCAGTTATGAGAAACGTTTGACGTACAAAGGCATTCTGGACACCGATGGGAAATTATAAACTAGACAAGAACTGGAAGGAGAGGGCACTGAGCTATCAAGCATCCCTTTTTCTTAAATATAGAGAGACAAGGGAGCTGATCTACTTCTCACGCAAAGGATCTACAGACCTTTTTGTTTTTCTTTTTAGTGTATATTTTATTTTGTTTATTTTTTTGAAGTTTGCAACTCATAAGCGCTTAACAAACGACGTGACCGTCCGGGTCTTATTCTAATAACACGGAGTCAAATCCTGCTCGCTACCCCGTTTTTCCAGCCATCGATAAAATGCGTCCCATAACTTGAAAATATTCTGGATCTTCTTTTTCTTTCATCTCCAGTCTATCCATTTCTGCACATTGCGGTATTTATTTTAATTACGTCGTCTTCAGAGGGCGTTTTTTTTTTTCCAATTCTGCGCAAAAACAATTCTTGCCGCTGTTAAGTTGCAGGCTCGATCAATGGAATTTCGCTAATGCCAACAAGCAAATTAAGACACCCCAAACTCACACTTCCCTTTGTTGGATGCCATTCCATGTTGGAGAGAAAGCGGATGAAGGTTTCCAGATTGTTAACCAATGTCATCAAGCGAGAAACACATAAAGTTGTCTGGAACTGCTCCTCGTTTCTCCCAATTAGTTAGCTGAAGCGTTGAGTAATTTTTTTTTTTTTTTAGGTTCACCAAAAGTCAAATTAAGCAGAACCCGTTTCCTTCAAATTTTGGCGGATGGGTGCTGCAAGCCAGTCTAGCTAGAGAATACTCAAGCTGGAGAAGATCATCTTTCAGGATGATCCAGGCCATTTGAGAATTTCTAAACATATGGGAAGTGTTTGGCTTTGGTTTCGTTAGACATTTTCAGAGGAGCAAAAAAGATCTGCTTCAAAAACACTCGAGCTGATCTTTTAAACGGGGAGATCGCCCTGTTCAAGAACAATTGGTGAGCAGAGTTCAGAGAGCCTTTGCACCAGCGGACAATTCCAGAGAAATGTGAAAACATGTTTGCAGGTGAGGAATCAAGTTTCAACCAGCTCCGTGCCCTGCCCTCCATCCCCTTTGTCATAACCAGAATTGAACACAGGCAAGGATAGAAAAAATGATTGGAACCCTTGGTTAAACATTAACCGGCTTTTGATTCGTTGCTGTTTAAAAATCAGGACCTCTTCTTTCTTTCTTTCTTTCTTTCTTTCTTTCTTTCTTTCTTTCTTTCTTTCTTTCTTTCTTTCCTTCTTTCCTTCCTTCCCTTCCTTCTCTCTCTCTCTCTCTCTTTCTTTCCTTGTTTTTTCTTTCCTTCCTCCCTCCCTCCTTTCTTTCTCTCTCTCTCTCTTTTCCTTCCTTCCTTCCCCCTTTCTTTATTTCCTTGTTTTTTCTTTATTTATTTTCTTCCTCCCTCCCCTTTCTTTCTTTTCTTCCTTCCTTCCTTCTCTCTTTCTTTCCTTGCTTTTTCTTTCCTTCCTCCCTCCCTCCTCTTTCTTTCTCTGTCTCTCTCTTTTATCCTTCCTTCCTTCCCCCCCTCTCTTTCTTTCTTTCCTTGCTTTTTCTTTCTTTCTTATTTTCTTCCTTCCTCCCTCCCTCCCTCCCCTCCCTCCCTTCCTTCTTTCCTTCCTTCCTCTTTTTTTCTTTACTTGCTTTCTTCTTTCTTTCTTTCTTTCTTTCTTTCTTTCTTTCTTTCTTTCTTTCTTTCTTTCTTTCTTTCTTTCTTTCTTTCTTCCATCAACCTCCAAGTCTCAGCAGATTCCCTGCCGGAGCACCTGCAAATAAGCAAAGCTTGCAAAACTTTAGGAGATCTGCATTTCCCAAAAGGAGATGCCTTTCAGAAGATACAAGAACCCCTTTGCTGATTACATTTCTAGCAAAAGTCTCAGAAACTAAGGCTTGTTCGTAAAGGCTTCTATTTCCCTATCTGCTCATTTAGCATTGTAGCCTATTTCATTATAACAGGAATTTTCGCCTCCCCCCTCCCGCTTTTTTTTTTAAGGTTCCCCTACGGATGGATCCAGACCTTCTAAGCAAAGACTGACTGAAGGATGGATGTGTCCTTCGTGTAAGGATTTGGCAAACTCCAGGAACAAAGACATAGCCGGTGAGACAAACTTTTGACGGTTCAAGATGGGGCCAGCCTTGAAGGGTGTGAAAATTCCTCTCAATCCAGTTCATTAGTCTAAAACCCAGCTGTTCATCCGTACAGTTATTCTCTTCCTTAAAATGCTGCCCTTGTTATTGCAGCCGTTCTTCGTACGTTTTAGTCTCCAGGCCTTGGATCAACTTAGTTGCTCTTCTCTGAATTTTTTTTCCAAACTCTCAACATCTTTTTTTGTGTGTGTGATATGGTGACCAGTATATTTTATTTTATTTTATTTTCTCGTCCTTCTTAGGGGCAGGAGACCACAAGGAGATTGCTCCAGAAGAAATCTCTGGGACTCAACCAAAGTTTACCCACCACCAGCAACCAAAACAGGCAGGTCTTTGGTATTGGGCGGTACCATCTGCAGCTACCTCTATGAATTACATCCCGGCTATTCCCTTGGCACAGTGCCCACTCTCGTCCATAATGTAAGTAATGTTTTTCCCCCACAGGATTTAATAGATGATGTCTTAGTTTTCTTACCTAGCAGTAGGAAAGTGCTGAATCTCTAGTCCAGGCACACTTAACAATCAGAGACTAGCGACTAGTGACGCGTGCGAACAACCGCTTTAAACTTCATGTAAACCGTTCCAAACTCGATTGTAAAAAAGTCGGGTTTTTGTTAACCGAGTTGTCAAACTTTGGAACAGCTTACCTGATTTAGTGGCCTCAGCCGTTAACTTTCCCAAGGTTTTCATTCTAATTTAATTTTAAGTTGACTTCTGTGGACCTCACTCCATATTTAAGAAGTCCCTAAAGGGGTACCCGTGTGCGTTATCATCCCTGACCCATTTTAATTTTCTAGTTTTGCTTGCTCGGATTTGTAATTTTTATTTGGCGAATAAAGGTTTTTTTTTTTTTAAAAAAAAAAAAACATCTGCAAAGCCACCGCTGTCCTCTTCCTGGCTGGTCTGGACAATCTCACAAAGGGACATCTACATGTCTCCTAAGAGATCAGCCAAGGTTAGGGCGGCATCCAAATTTTTTGTAAGGTAAGGTCTGAGGGGTCCTTGGTGCTCTCTGAGCTTGGTGGTTTCCTTACAGACATTTCATTACCCAACTGGGTGACATCATCAGTACTAGAAGGGAGTGGGGTGTGTGGGGAGGAGGAGGACTGTGGGGTCCTTGGTGCTCTGAGCTTGATGGGATTTTTTGTAGACATTTCATTACCCAACTGGGTGACATCATCAGTACTAGAAGGGAATGGGATATGTGGGGAGGAGGAGGAAGAAGAGGAGGAGAAGGAGGAGGAGGAGTACTGTGGGGCCCTTGGTGCTCAAGTAGGTGACATCATCAGTACTAGAAGAGAGGGATGTGTGGGGAGGAGGAGGAGGAGGAGGAGGAGGAGGAGGAGGAGGAGGAGGAGGAGGACGACGACTGTGGGGTTCTTGGTGCTCTCTGAGCTTGGTTGTTTTCTTGCAGACATTTCATGACCCAAATTAGGTAACATCATCAGGGCTAGTAATGGTGAAGATGATCAGCCTTGATGATGTTAGCTAGTTAGGGTCATGAAACGTCTGCAAGAAAACCACCAAGCTCAGAGAGCACCAAGGACTCCTCATTTCAACCCCCAGCTACAAATATTCTCCTTTAAGCTAAGGTCTGCTTGAACTTGATCTTGGCAACCTTAGCTTGCTGGCTTGACTTCTCTGTTGAGTTGGAAACCCTTGGCTTCATGCTAGTTTCTCATTCAACCAGGTCCACCTCTGCTTAGCTTTTCCAAGGATCAGCCGAGGTTTAGCTGGGTGCAAACATTTGCTGCGACAGTTGTCTGACCTCTCCATTTCTCTTTCCTTCTGGACAGCTATTCTCCGCCACCGCTGACTACCTCAATCTGCTCCTCGGCAGCTCTCCCAGCTTACGATTCCAGCAGACGGCAAGCCTCAGAGTGGAAAACATCACGGCAGCGTCTCCAGGATCGTCCCTTTTGCTTCCCCTCCGCCAGTTTGGAAGACTTGAACTGGACTTTAAGCCGGGCTGTGGAAGCTGCTAAAGACATGAAGTTCACCACCGAACAGATGAATCAATCTCTCCGTTCGGCCCTAAAAAAAGCGAGGAATCCCAGGACATCTCATCTCTTCTGATGAGGATGGACCAAGAGATTGAATGGAACGGGGACCAATAAAATGGACCGAGTGGCTTGCTTGTTCGACTCTGGACACAAGGGTTGGGTTTTATGTGCCAAAGAACAAGGCTTAGTTGAGAAGGGAGAATCATGTAACCTCCAGTGTTTGGAGGAAGTAGCCTTTTGCAACTGTGCTTCCTGTATTTTGCTCCCTGACTTGAACCATTGGGGTGACTTCTGCTTTTTTTTCTTTTTGATCTTGACTTTGTAGCTTCCTCTCAGGGACATTGATCTTAATAATGTTGATGATGATAATAATAATAATAATAATAATAATAATAATAATAATAATAATAATAATAATAATAAAAAATATAGGCAGCTTTGGCACAAGAGGCAATGTTGGGCTAGATAGGGGAGGATAGAAAAACCGAGATGCTTGCCTTGTTCAGATATGTTCTAGGGAAGGTTTGCATTGAGGGGACCATGTTGCTCTCTGAGCTTGGTGGTTTTCTTGCAGACGTTTCATGACCTAACTAGGTAACGTCATCAGTACTTGACTAGTTGGGTCCTGAAACATCTGCAAGAAAAGCACCAAGCTCAGAGAGCACCAAGGACCCCACAGTTCAACCCTGAGCTATCAATATTCCCCTTTAAAGCTTTGTATTTTAACTTTGGCCATCTTCCAGCATGGAGCGTTCTTCCAATGGAGTTGATCCATCCATCCATTCACCTTAAATCAGGGATGGGGTGTTCAACCTTAGCCCCGTGAAGTCTTGTGGACTTCAACTGCCAGCATTCCTCAGCCAGCCCACCCTCCTTAAGTCTTCGCCTTAACCCTGAGAACTTCTCAGTTGATTCCCTCAGCCTCAAAAGGCCGTCAATATAAGCTGACGGCTGCTGTTAGAACTTCTTCCAAGTACCCAAAAAGCTTAACCCAGCAGCACTTTATTTTTGGTTTCACTTTTTAAGAATATGTGAGCAATAAGATGTGGTGGAGAGGGGGTGAATTGCTCAAAATGCAAGCTGAATCATTCCATCCATCGTGTGTACAAAGGGATGGCTGTGTGTGTGCGTGTGTGCGTGCAAACCTGCCTCAAAGGGACTGGAAAGCAGATGGTGCTGAACGGGCTAAGAGGTTTGTGCATAGTGTAAAATATCTGGTGGGAAGCAGTAAGCTGACTCCCAACCAAGGAATCTGTCCTTTGGATCTTGGGCACAATTAATTAATTGATTGATGGGGAAGTTGATGTCCTGTATAATCGATGGTCTGAGATCAGCTGTTTTCTGCATTTGCTCCAACTTTCCTTCCTTCCTTAATTCCTTCCTTCCCTCACCCTGCCTTCCTCCCTCCTTCCCTTCTTTCCTCACCTCCCTACCTCTTTTTGTTCTTTCTTTCCTTCCTTCTTTCCTTCCTTTCCTGACCCTTCCTTTCCTCCTTCCATCCTCCCTCCCTCCTTCCTACCTTAATCTTCCTTTCTTTCTTCCTTCCTTCCTTTCTTTCTTCCTTTCTTTCTTTCTTTCTTTCTTTCTTTTTCCTTATTTTTCTTTCTCTCTTTCTTTCCTTGTTTCCTTCCTTCTCTATCTTTCTTTCTTTCTTTGCCTTTTCATTCTTTCCTTTCTTCTTCCCCTTTCTTTCTTTCTTTATTTTTCTTTCTTTCCTTATTTTCTTTCTCTTTCTTTGTTTCCTTCCTTCTCTTTTTCTTTCCTTGCATTTTCATTCCTTCCTTCCTTCTTCCCCTTTCTTTCACTCTATCTTTCTTTTTCTTTCTTTCTTTTCTTCCTTTCCCTCCCCCTCTTTCTTTCTCTTTCTTTCTCTCTTTTTTCTTTCTTTCCTTCCTTCCTTCTCTATCTTTCCTTGCTTTTTCATTCTTCCTTCTTCCTTTCTTTCTTTCATTCTATCTATCTATCTTTCTTTCTTTCCCCTTTTCTTTCATTCTATCTTTCTTTCTCTTTCTTTCCTTCCTCTTTCTTTCTTTCTTTTTCTTTTTTTTTCTTTCTTTCCTTCCTTCCTTCTCTATCTTTCCTTGCTTTTTCATTCTTCCTTCTTCCTTTCTTTCTTTCATTCTATCTATCTATCTTTCTTAATTTCTTTCTTTCTTTCCCCTTTTCTTTCATTCTATCTTTCTCTTTCTTTCTTTCTTTCTTTCTCTTTCCCTACCTACCTATCTACTTCCTTCCTTCCTTCCCTCCTTCCTTCCTTCCCCTCGAGATTAATTTCATACTTGATCCCCTCCTCTACTGTCTTCCCTTTGTGCCTTGTCCGACTTGGTATTACTTCATACGGAGTTCTTTTCACTCTATCAAGAAACTCCCAACGGAGGAAAGTGCACTCTCTTCTAGCACTAATGATGTTCCCTAGCTGGGTCATGAAACATCTACAAGAAAAAAAGCAAGCTCAGAGAGCACCAAGGATCCCACATTCGAACCCAGAGGTACAATGATTCTCCTTTATTGCTCCCAAACAAATGTTTGAAATAATTGTAATTGGAATTATGTAAAAGTCAATGTCGGCTTCAAAATGAAAATGTATTCTTTTTATTTGTTTGTTTTTATTCTTTTTATTTGTTTGTTTTCTTCAGTAAACTTTTCGTTTTGGTAATGGTGCTTTGATCTCCTTTTCTTTTGGGGGGGTACCTTAGCAGCAGCGGTATCAGCACAAGCTCCTCAGAAGAATAAGCCCAAAAGCCAAGGCTTGCCCCAGAAATAAAAAGATGTTGTCCCCTTGGCACTGTGCCAAGTATGACACTAATTAAAACAAAAACTTTAATGTACAAAATAAAAAAGGCTACTTTTTTTGTCTCTTCTTTGTTGTGATCCTGGAAGATAAATACACTTGGTGTGCAATTGTAAAGCTATACACTATAGGTAAGCCTCACTTTACGAGCGTTAATCCTGGTTCCCAGGCTCCCAGGGCTGGTTATGTTGGCCTCTGACTGATTCTTCAATCAAAGTTCTGATTTCAACACTCAACCTGGAACCGTGCAGGGACCAGGGCATCCGGTCCCTACATAAAGCCTATTGCAAAGCCTGCATCCCCAGCTGGTTCTGGCTATAGCACTACGTTGCCCTGGCACGCTGCCAGGGAAAAAGGCTCTTTGCACATTTTCTAGTTAGAAAAGAGTAAGGACAATGTAAGGCTGCATTCTGATGACTTTGCCCCCAAACTGACCAACCTAGCCTGTCCTATCTTGGGAAAGCCTGATTTTTTTGCCCTCTTTGGGCTAAGGAAATATTAGGGCCAGACTTTTGGCCCACTTTGGGGGTTAGAAAAGAGTAAGGCTAACGTAAGGCTGCATTCAATGGGATTTTAAGGTTATTATTCTGTATCTTTCTGCAAAGCAGGCACGGGTGTAGGCAAAAAGGCTCTTTGCAATTGTTCTAGTTAAGAAACTTTGCATTCTGATGACTTTGATCCACACAGCCTGTCCTATCTTGGGTAACCCTGGCTTTTTTTGCCCTCTTTGGGGTAACGTTTATTTCCTCGTGGGGCTGCTGTTCCTGCCTTGACCACAGGTGGGCGAAGTTTTCTGTCCCGTACCATTAGCACCGAGGCCATCATCGACCTTTTTAACTCGGTTTAAGGCTTTGAGAAACGGGTTTCCTGCTTCCATACCTGTTCTGCAGCCCCCGGGCCTCCCGTCACTCTATTATGATTAACCGGTGGGTATGCATACCACCTGGGGCAGGTAGTAGCAGCCCTGCTCAGGCAAGCGTAGTAGGAGGGGGCGGAGACAGCAACAGCCTTAGGTATATAATTAGGCAAGCAAGCCGGCAAGGAAGCCGGCAGCTTGTGAGGCGATGTACAACTGGTGGCAACGCAACGCTGGGCAACGCAACGCTGGGCAACGCAACGCTGGGCAACGCAACGAAACGCAGCCAACAGGCAAGAAATGCAGTATCGGCTGGAGGTAAGGCACTGGGGGGGGGGAGGAAGGGAGGGAGATGGAGAGTGCTTTTGTGAGTTTGACGTTGTGGGATCTGAAAATGCAGAGGTCTTTTTTTAATGGTGGAATATTTAAGGGAAGGTAATTTGTATAGTTTGTAGTACTTTTTTTGCACCGCACGACACGAAGGCAAGGCAAGGCAACCAACAGACAAGAAATGCAGTCTGGGGGGGGGGAGGAAGGGGGGGAAATGGAGAGTGCTTTTGTGCGTTTGAAGTTGTGGGATCTGAAAATGCAGAAATTTTTTTTTAATGGTGGAATATTTAAGAGAAGCTAATTTGTATAATTTATAGTTCTTTTTTTGCACCGCACGGCACGAAGGCAAGGCAAGGCAACCAACAGACAAGAAATGCAGTCTGGGGGGGAGGAAAGGGGGGAAATGGAGAGTGCTTTTGTGAGTTTGAAGTTATGGGATCTGAAAACGGAATTTTTAAGAGAAGCTAATTTCTACACTTTGTAGTTCTTTTGTTACACGGCACGGCACGGCACGAAGGCAACGCAAGGCAACCAACAGGCAAGAAATGCAATATCAGCTGGACGTAAGACATGCGGAGGGGGGAGGAAGGGGGGGAAATGGAGAGTGCTTTTGTGAGTTTGAAGTTGTGGGATCTGAAAACGGAATATTTAAGAGAAGCTAATTTCTACACTTTGTAGTTCTTTTTTTACACGGCACGGCACGAAGGCAACGCAAAGCAACCAACAAGCAATAAATGCAGTCTGGGGGGGACGAAGGGGGGGAAATGGAGAGTGCTTTTGTGAGTTTGAAGTTGTGGGATCTGAAAACGGAATATTTAAGAGAAGCTAATTTCTACACTTTGTAGTTCTTTTTTTACACGGCACGGCACGAAGGCAACGCAAGGCAACCAACAGGCAAGAAATGCAATATCAGCTGGACGTAAGACATGCGGAGGGGGGAGGAAGGGGGGGAAATGGAGAGTGCTTTTGTGAGTTTGAAGTTGTGGGATCTGAAAATGCTAGAAGTTTTTGGAGAGTGCTTTTGTGAGTTTGAAGTTGTGGGATCTGAAAACGGAATATTTAAGAGAAGCTAATTTCTACACTTTGTAGTTCTTTTTTTACACGGCACGGCACGAAGGCAACGCAAGGCAACCAACAGGCAAGAAATGCAATATCAG